TAGCCTATGACAACCTTTGTTTCCGATAACTAAAACCGAAATTTCCGATAACAAAGTGAACCATTCAACCGTATTTCCGATAACATCCTGAAAGTTAAAAAAGGGCTATTTTTTACCTTTTAATTACATCTTTGCGAGATTCTGACGATGTCATATTGTGGACAATAATTAATGCGAGGTAAATATAAGGATTTTGAAGAGAGGGGCTATATGCAGCAATGCCAATCGGCCAAAAACATGCAAAATATAACAAATTTGACTTTTAAAGTCTTCTCAAAACTTACAAATACTATAATAGGATATACTGGGGCTTTATTTTGTATCTGTATTCATTCTTGTTCACAAAAAGCACAATCAACAGTGTCTGTTTCTATTTTTACAGTGTTTATTTGCAACAATTTACTAACCTGTCAAAAGTTGTTATCCACCGAATGCCCGATAACAACCGAATAGCCGATAACGCGTTGAGCAGTGTGCGAATCCCACTGCGGGACGTGGAGGCCGGTCCTTCGGATGAGACCGTATAAACCGAGGTCCCGTGTCGCAGTAGGTGCTGGCACGAAAAAGATCCCTCATTGCTCAATGGCCTTAAGTGCCGAGTATAGGACAAAATTTGCAGCTCTCCACCGGCAATGGTGGCGTCTCCATATGAGTGAACAATTCTCGAGAGGGACGGTAAACAACATACAATCAATCAATCAATTAACAATAGTTACTTTCATTCATATATTGACTCGATATATCCCAGTGAGCTTGAAATAAAAGATATCACAGATTCTGACACATCTGTTTCATATTTAGATATTTTACTAGAAAAAGAAGTTAATGGTAACCTAACAACAAAGTTTCACGATAAACGTGATGACTTCAGCTTTTCAATCGTCAACTTCCCTTAATTATGTAGCAATGTACCCTCATCACCTGTATATGGGGTTTATGTCTCTCAGTTGATTCGATACGCAAGAGCATGCTCTATGTATAAAAAATTTCTAAAACGAGGCAAACTATTAACAAACAAGTTGATGAAACAAGGATATCAACTGTCATGTTTGAAGTCATCATTTCGCAAGTTTTACGGACAATACAATGACCTTGTCAGCACATACAACCTATCATTAAGTCAAATGCTGACTGATGTTTTCATACTAATTGTTAGGCCATTACTTATACTCTGAACTGTCTACGGATATTTCCGGGGGGTTTTCTGATCATGACAAGGAGCACATGGCGGGTGTGACCAGTCAGCAGGGGGTGCTCACTCCTCCATGGCACCTGATCCCACCTCTAAATTTTGAGTTCCTTGTTTGCTCTGCTCCAAATCTGTATCGTTTCATTGGAGTTTCGAGATTGGATTCTGTTTGTTATCTTTATATTTCATCTTAATGAGACATGACACTCGATTGCAGTGTGATTGATCTGACTTTCCAGATCACTTTACTGTGGATTTCTGAAATATAAAAAAATAAAAATACTATATAATAACACAATATCAAATTAATTTTACAAGTCTTAACACTAAGTTAATATTGAAGGTAATCATGGCTAGCCAATAAGAACTCTTTTACTTTGACAGATGCTATCAATTGCAATTAAGAGGTCAAATTTCTCTACCCAATTCCCAAGAGATTTAGATAACACCAGCTTGATAAGAGATGCTCTACCAGAAATCTTCTTAGTACACTAAACTCATTAATTAAATTCTAATTTGACAGAATGTAATTTGTTTCTTATCAAAATGCTCTTTGAAACGACCATTGCTTGACAAAGTGGAACAAGTCAAATTTCTCTTGTTATTCACACAAAATAAATTATATATTTGTTATAAATTGCAATATAGTATATATCATACGAAAATGTGTATTTTCTTGAATTAAACTTTTTAAATACATTTACTGTAATACTCTTACATCTGTTTGTATTTTGTACTTAAAAACATAGATTTTTTTTTAATTTAACCTAAATTAAAGGTCACAGTGACCTTTAAATAGGATGTGACTCATCCTCTATGATTAATAGACAACTTTCACATTTACAAAAGTTATTTCCCTTTGCAGGGTCAATCTGCATAACCCACTGTTTCCCTCTAAGATATTACTGATTCTATGGGGCCAGTGTCTTACAAATTAAATCTCTATGTATATGTTTATTATGTTTTCTTTCATGCCCCATACTATGGCAATACAGGAACAATACAAAATAGTTTGGGGGCGTTTGAGGGTTTAAATTATTTACAGGTAAGTTACAAAGGATACTGCAGTGAGAAAAATGAGCATTACACCGACAAAGAGAGATAACTCTTAAGAAAGTGACCAAGTTTGATGATTCTAGGTCTAATAGTTTTCCAGTTTCAATAGTTTGAGCAAGGCAGGATTTTCCATATTTGGCCATACCATCTTAATTAAAGGTCACAACAATTACCTACTTTTAATTTTTGACACATCTTCTACCCGTATTGTATCATTTGACGTTATTCTAAGCCTCATGAGTCGGAGATGAAAAAAATAACAGAAAGACAGACGGATGAACATGAATGCCATACCATAATATATACCCCCATCTTAAGAAGGGCATATAAAAATGTTACCATAATCAAAGCTTTCAAAATGTTATCAATCTATATGTGAAGCAAAATTCTCACACAAGACAAAGTTCAGAAAATGTGCATCCCCATCTTCACTCTTCACGCTGTAAGGAGTGTAGTAGATCAGAAACACTTGACAAGTGAAGATGGTGCATCACTAGATGCAAAATCCTTGCAATGGGCAGGGTTCCCCATGAGCTGTTTTACTGTGTCGCCCCCGACACAGTAAAATTTTCCCCGACACAGTAACGATTCAAATTTTATGCGTGCGACACAGTAAAAAAAATTGCGACACAGTAAGATCTGTGAAAATCAGAAAATCAGAACATGCATCTGATCTATTCTCTCTAACTGAAATTTTAATCAAACAACTCTACCGTCTTCCAATTTTTAAGGCAGAGTACTTAATTAAGCTCCACCTGACACCAAACTTACCTGAGGGAAACCGACCGGTTGAAAACCTCGGCCTTATGATCAACATTTCGATTGACCAACACGCGATGTCTTAGGAAAACATTTACAGGTAATATACAGGTAACATCCTGTGTATATAGGTAGGTATATACAACCCATCCTGGTTCCCTCGGGGCTTCACAGCCGCTTCAATTAAGCTCCACCCCACACCAAACTTACCTGAGGAAAACCGACCGGTTGAAAACCTCGGCCTTTAATTAGGGCACATTGTCTTGCTTCACCCTTGAATAATCAAATATCTCCTAGACCCTCCCTGGACTTTACGCATGAAGGAACAAAGAGTTAGACAAATAATTTGTTTTTACACTTCCTTGTAACAGTATAACTGCTAGTTGCATTTTTAAATATTATTTAAAAATTAAAAATTTATTATAGATACAGGCCCGTAGGAAGCAATTTCAGTTGTGGGGGGGGGGGGGGGCACAGCCAAACATTTTCAGTTGGGGGGCACTATCAACTACCAAAATTCCTTGACAAGCAAAAAAAAAAAAAAAAAAAAAAAAAAAAGTCATCAACCGTTTTTATTGAGGGGCACAAGCATATTATAGCTAAGTTTTATATGGTATTCTATACATTGGCAAAATTATTGGGGAGGGGGGTGCCCCCCCCCCCGGTTCCTACGGCCATGAGATATATGTCTTTAAACTTGAGAACTACGTCTCTAAAATTATGTTGGCACTGTGAGTCAAACATCCTTACGGTACCGTAATCATTTATTTGATGTAAATGTATGTTGAAGAATTTAAAGGCACCCCCTAGAAGTATTTTACTATTCTAAAGTTTCTTTTTTTATATTCATAAATTCGATCAACAGACGAAAATCACGGCAAATCTACTTTTAAAGTGGGGAAGTAGATCGATTTTATCGACCAGAATTTTCTATATTTCTATGAAAATATGAAGTTAAATATACGTTGTATATACAAAAATATCAAGGTTTAATATACAACTTGTAGACAGTGATACAAATATATTTAATGATTTTTTAAATATTGTACATACTTTTTAAAGTTGTGTGTTGGGGGGGAGGGGGGACAGTTGGTTTGTTTTATAGTAGATTGTATGTACATTATTATATGGAAAAATTCTAATTGTTTGAAATATCCGTTCCATTAAGGTCAGACGATACGTTCCTCAAATATCTGTTTTGTATAGCTTCATATTGTAAGGAAAATGTTAAAAAAAATTAAATACTTTCTGATTTCTAAACTGGTTTCTAATTGTCTTTAAAAAATTGAAACACTAAAAAATGTGATATTGGCAAATTAAGTTTTTTCCAAAAGGATTTTATAGGAAAAAACATCCTCCGGTATCTTGCACAAATGCCTGGTAAGGTACCTCAATTTTTTGCGAGTAAACATAGTAAAATAGCAATACTTCAATGACAATATCTTAGAAAAAATTATATATTATTGAGGAACGTATCGTCTGTCCTTAACTAATTTATTTTTATTGATATGCACCGGTATTTGTACGATCATATCATTTGTATAACGAATGGTGATTCAAAAAAGTTGTGTGGTTGTGTGTGTGCTTTTGTAATTATAATGAATAGTGGTTCGGTTGCGAATAAATTGATCGCGAAAATACCGCGAATATTAGTAGTTCACGTAAAGTCTGCAACACAGTAAAATTTCAAATGAAGGAGAACCCTGCAATGGGTAATCATATATAATATACTATGGAATATGGCTCTGAAAACTTCAACATGCAATGCTCAAAAATGTAGCATGCACTGATCTAGAGGGGATGCTGTCAAGCCATTCCCCCCCCCCCCTTCAGATTTTCTGATTTTTTTCTGTTTTTAAATTTATATGCAAACTATTCATGAAAAAGAGTTATAAAATGTCTATGCAAAGTATTGAAAAAGGACCAAAGGATACTGCTATATATAATTTTTAATTTGTCTTTAGCAAATCTTTTTTAAAGAATTACTCAATGTATGTTGAATTCACAGAGTTTTTATTTCCATGAATATGTAGGTTAATTTCCTACAGTAGTGCATACTCATAACATACAAAATGCCACAAGTTAATAAAGAATTTAAAAAAAGAATTTTTTTAACAACTTCAATCTGTTTAAAATAACATTACTAACAAATAAGTTTTGATTATTTCATCATAAAGTTAACTTGTTATTGTTAACATATTTCCATCGTTTCCTCAAAGCATGGCACATTGTCAACAATTTACTATCCACTTCAATCATTCTCTTAGCAAATACTGTCTGGGCCCTTATTATCCTTTGAGATTCTGCAGTGTATCCCCTTTGCATCAAACTCTGGGCAAAAAATAACTTTGCTTTGCATTCTAGAATGGGATTTTCCTCCTCTTCTGCTATTCTCAACTGTTTCATGGCGATTCTACCGGCCTCTTCTGCAAATCTAGGAAAACAGTCCCCCAGGGAGGAGTATGCCCCTCCAAGAGTAGAAAACCAGGCAAATGCCTCCTCCAGGAGCATTCTCCTCACCATCTGAGCTCCTAACCTATAGCTCCATGCATAGTCCACTTTCTGTTTGGGATAAACTGGGTATACTTCCACTACATAATCAAATATCACATATTTATTTTGTTCCTTTATTGTCGTTGTATGTGCTTCCATGTCCTGTTCATTAAAATTCACTATCGTGTGTTGAGAGTTGTAATTCTTTTTAAAAAATCTAAATAATCTCTCCCTAAACTGTGGAAAAAGTTTAAATTCAAATATGAGACATGAGGCTAGATGGGCATCTAACTTCAAGGCAGTCAAAAAAAAGTTGTAAGTTTGTTTACTTCTTCCTGTAGGAGTGTCTGATGGTAGAAGAGTGTAATTCCCTATTGTATCTTTTGTAGACTCTTTAAATTCCCGTTGAGGACTACAATTCTGTTCATCTTTTACCCAATCTTCTTTACCTTTCATCACTTGGTCTCCTTTAGGAACTTTGCCAAAGGTATGGTACACAATGTCAGTGAATTCACCTTCCAGTCTTATACACACTATAAAACTTTTTACTTTGTACTTCATCTTAACACAAAATTATCTAAAAATTTGATGTCATTGCCACAACACCAATGTTACGATCGCTGACCGAATTTCCTTCAATGTTATCAAATTATTTAAATCGGGTTCGGCATTAAATTTTTTCCGTAAATTTCCGGAAGCTGTCGAGTTAGCTTCGTTGTAAACATGGACGAATGAAGATGATGCGGATAAATTATTGGGGATATTTTTTAATATTTTCATAGTTTCCCAAGAGCTACTCTTACTTAGAAAGGTATATTTTACATTTGTATGACAAACAATAGCAATAGGGTTTTATTTAAGAGATTTTTTATATTTAATTACGATATATGATAAAATCTTTTCTCTTGCTCAGCAGTCTTGCAACGTCAGATCATTCCTGTGTTACTGTGTGTGTTCCACCGTTACTGTGTGTGTTCCACTTGGGTAGTAAAACACGTCTTTACAAAACTAATTTCAATATATGTTTGCATTTTAACATTGCAGGGAAAAAATTGATATCACTAATTTGCATAAATAGAACATAAAACCATGGTATACTGTTAATTAAAAATATAATGTGGAACAAAAGCAACCAAAATACAGATATATTTTATATGCAGAGGTATGTAAATGATTTGCTGAGTAAATATTTGAAAAGAAAATGTATCATGTACTTACTGTAAAATATAATGAACAAATTTTAAATTGCCTTAGGTTTATTGTTCTTTAAGCATGATGTTTAGTCATGCTTAACTCATTTATGCATTTGAGAACCGTTGGAGATAGATAAAAAGAAGATAATTTGTATGACTGGATTATTTCACATTCTAAGTAATATATATGAGTACTTAAAATGATACTTTTTATTTAACCTCTTTGTGATTGCACAAGCTGTGCAGTTGAAAATGACACATGTATGTCAGTGACACCTGTGTCATAAAAGTGGAAAGGAAAGTCATGATCAGATGGTAAGATGTAAAGGCTACAAGCGTTCTGTGTAAATGTTCCAGGGTAGAACTGAAGAAGAATAACGAAGCTAAATTTAATTAACTTATTAAGGAAACTCTAAACACTAATGAAAAATATTTTTTTGGATTTTGAGAAAATTGTAAAATATAAAGATGTAAATACTGACTTTATCTAGGTCATTTTCAACATATGGTACCTGCAGGCCTCTAAGTATCCTCTAAAATTTAGGCATCAGCTGGCTATTAATAAAAAAAATTAGTTGCCAATGTAAATTTTTAGTTCCAGGCGATTCTTTCTTAGGTGCCAACTTAAAGACCTCTAGGAACCCCATGTTGGGGTGGGGGTGGGGAGTAGTCATTGGAGGGGCATGTCTGATGCTTCTTCCACTTTTGACAGTGGAAGAACAAGAGTATCTTTTTGTCCCCATCCCCTGGTCAGAATCAAATTAATGTAGGAGATATAGTAACTAGGAAATGTTCAAAGCAGAATTGTAAAAAGACTTTTTTTGCTTTGGAAATATTTTATAATTGATTGAACACCCTTGTTAGAACCCTGTACCTGTCATATTTGTTCAGGAGAAATGTTCATAGATAATGAAGTATCAGTGCAGAGAAATCACTGTTGTTTACTTATAATGGAAAAATACATTCAAACTAATGCTTTCAATTAGTCTATCTTGGTCTAAAGTAATGTTCAGATTACTTTTAGATTAATCAATTTCAACTTGTGTCAATTACTGTAGATTTTCATTTTTTCCATTTTACTTTCCATTTAACATCAAATGGCAGGTCACTCTAACAGCATCAAACTACCATGGAATTTAATCTCTTCAGTGAGCAGTGTTTAAAGCTTCCTTTCTTTAATGTTGTATTCAGAGGATGAAGATTTTGTATGTCACTGGGAGGGGGTGTCCTTAAATGTCAATGTGTAGGTAAAAATATTCTGCTCTTGAGCAGTTATTCATATATATGAAAATATCATCAAATATTGTGGATTCAAGTTTTTTTTCCCCCAAGTCTCAGGATTCCACTGATAGGGCCACACTGGGGGATGCATATTTTCAAATAGGAATACAAGTGGAAAATGTTTTAAAATTGTTTTTTCAAGAATCAGAGGACAAAATTTTTTTCAGTTTTACTTTCAAGCATCCCCATTAAGTGTGGATTAGTATGTTCTAATCATAAGTAGGGTCAGATGAGTGAATCTGGAGTTTTACAAAGGAAAACTGTGAAAAAATACAAATAGTTTAGGAGCAATAGGACCATAATTTTTATAGTCAACAGTATAATATTCACATAAACTCACTATCCTGGTAAATCAAGAATTACAATTTCAGTATTTCATTATCCATAAAGCACAAAATGTGTCAAACCATGGAGTATATCATTAGTAAAGAGGGAAGAGAACAGTGTGTATTACAGTGTGTTTCATATTCAATTTGACTGATTTAAGGTTATCTTGTTTATGAGCTGGTTTTCTGCAATGAAACCTTATCCTTGACCTCGAATATTTTTACTGTATTGAAGTTTGTTTTGTTTTTACTATTTTGATAAGGACTAATTAATATACATGAGATAATTATACCCCCCGCAAACGAAGTTTAGGGGGGTATATTGGAATCAGCTTGTCCGTCTGTCTGTCTGTCCGTCTGTCTGTAGACGAGATTTTGTCCGGACCATTTCTTGGAAACTGTTGCAAGGATTTTTCTGAAAATTTGTACACTTATTCTTTGCCATATGAAGGTGTGCACCTGGTATTTTCATCATGATTGGATAATTTTTTTGCATTTTACAGGTGTTTTTTTAATTTTTATTATGTGGTTTTGTCCGGATCTGTACCCAGAGACTATTGCATAGATTTGTATGAAAATTTGTACACTTATTATTTACCATATGAAGATGTTCACCTGGTATTTTCAACATTATTTGATAATTTTTCTGCATTTTACAGGTGTTTTTTTTTTTTTCATTTTTATTGACTTAGTCATTTTGGGTTCATGTCTAAGGTTTGAGACATAGAATCTAGAACATCTGTACAAAAATGTGAACTACAGCTTAAAACTACTCATTAGAAGTAAAAAAAAAATCACAAAGTATTAAAAACAGTTTTCACATTACACAGCAGATAGTGTAAATCCATTTGTCCCTTGGGAGTAATGAGTGGACATGCATCCAGTTAAAGATTAATTAATGAGTTCAGTGTGGGAAGCTGTTAGGGCATCTCTGATCAAGCAGGTCTTATCTATATCTCCTGGGAATTGGGCAGAAAGAAATAAAGATCTCTGTTGTCTAAGTCTCTTAATTGTTATTTATGTCTGTCAAACACATAGTTACAGGAAACAGACTTTTATTTTTAAAATGAGTTTGATAAAAAGGTATTAAGATCAATTTGATTTTGTATAATTAATTATGATATTTTTTTTCAACAATCAATTTGCAGAGTGTCATGTCTCATATGACATATAATTGCAAACTATTTTTTTCAATGTAATAAAAAACACTGTAATTACTAGCATGTGACTAGTATTGATGTTTTATTAGGCTGCACCTTAGTTTCATTCATTAAAAAAATATAATGAGTAATTAAATTTTCACTCTAAATGTTTAAGCAAATTGTGAATACCTCTCACATCTAGAAAACATTAGTGATTTGGTACCTTCTCTGAAAAACCCAGCGGGGGTATTTGTCCCTTTTGGACAGTTCTAGTTTATCTAGGACTGAGTTGATGATGTTTAATTTTGTGTAACTTTTTATCTTTATAGACTAAAGTGAAGAACTCTTGGAGACAGGAGGAAAACATGACGTAAGTTGACTCGAAATCTTCAAGCCACACATTCTGTTTCTCTAATTGTTCATTCACTTCATATGCCCCCACCATTTAGAATGAAGAACATATATACTGAGGCTAAAACAAATAATAGTCTTGTTTCCTGCTACCCAACCGACTTTTTTTTTTGTGACCGACCCTAATTTTTTTTCATTTTGGAAGAAAAAAAATCGTGAATTTCCGGAATTTCATCGTTCTGTCACTGTAATCAGTTTCCGTGTTAACATAAAACAAGCATTTCATAAAATTCTTAGTTTAAATTTTAAATATGGATTTTCGTAAAATATCACTTGAGTTCTGCTTCAAAAGAATGAAATTTAATTTTAAAAGACAAAATTGACCTGTGACATGTTTAATTTGATCTTGTATTAGTACATATCCAAAAAATGCCATCAGTAAAAAATGAAAAAATAAAATAAAATAATTTTCCTACCTACCTACCCTATTTTTTCAGGCTGGTAGCAGGAAACAAGACTATTATCTTTTTTGGCCTGATGTAGGGTTATCCATGTCCATTGTATGTCCATCTTTAATACATCTATCCCAATTAAGGGTCCGTGCAATATAACCTGACAAAGGTTTTATATAGTGAAGTGTTCATATTAGCATCCTGTTGATCTGATGAAGTCAGCTCAGTTGGAATTTGTTTTCAGGTCATAGGATCAAAGAGCATGACTTTTTGTTATTAAAGATATGCATATATATGGTTTCCACACGATAACTCCAAGCTATTTAGACAATAATGTTCATATCAATACACAAATTTAAGTATTAAACACTAGATGAAACTTTATTTTGGACAGTTTCTCTGTTTATTCATTGAAGAAAAAAAATTGGCAAGTTTTAGCATATGGTAGGCACATTATATGGACACTAATGACATGTAGGTACTTTAGAAAAGTTATGATTAGAATTAATACATGTATTATTCTTGATAGTAGTATTCCACTTATGTCACTTCAATTCCATGAGTACCAAGAATGAAATCAACAGGGAATAGACTCCATAAATTAGTTTAAAAAGGAGGGAGGGGTGGGGGAATTTTGTAGCAAAGTCAGTTCAGCTAGGGAAGTGATTATTATGTTTGCTAAACAATTTACATGGTTGCAATGTTTATTGTGCATGGTTTACTTTATAGATACATGTACTAGTCTACTAGATACTGATTTTGAACTAAATATATTAAAGGTTAACGAACATACATAACAAAACAATTTTTTTTTTAAATTTTTGATTTTAATTAGTCCACTTTTCATTAGCAAGAAAAATAGTCAAATCCTCTTAAGAGGATGAGAAAAAAAATTCTTTAGCTTAGTAGGTCTTTATTCTTTTGAATTTTTAGCAGAAATTTGGCTATTTTTAAAATATTTAAATCATTTCAAAGGCACATCATATTGTTATTGCATGTGTTTTTTTGGAAATTTTCCCTCATTTAAACTTTCAAAAACCATGATAAAAGTTTAATTGCAAATTAATAAATCCATTTGTCAATGAATAAACAATATGAAAATCTGTAAAAGTTTTAAGAACCAAAAAAATATGGTAATGAATGAAGAATACACATACTTGAAACAAATTTACATTATAATGCATTTTATTTGTCATATATACCAATTTAAAACTTCAATTTGAAAAATAAATGCTTCCTAAGCCCATCAACAAGGGCTGTATACGTATCTTCCAAAAAAATGACAAGAAAGCACTGATTTGGTGTAACACAAACACCTTAAAGATGTTACATACATAGACATGTATGTATAATTGATAGAATGAATTTGACTTGTAGGACTCAGGGTTATGACGAATGATAGAATGAATTTCACTTGTAAGACCCAGGGATTTTCTGGGCTTAACTATGATGAATGATAGAATGAATTTCACTTGTAGGACCCAGGGTTATTCTGGGCCTAACTATGATAAATGATGGAATAATTTCACTTGTAGGACCCAGGGTTATTCCGGGCTTAACTGTGGTAAATGATAGACAGAATTTGATTTGTAGGACCCAGGGTTATTCTGGGCCTAACTACCGGTATGATAAATGATATCTTGTTTTGTAGGACCCAGGGTTATTCCGGGCCTAACTATGATAAATGGGTTGAGAGGACTGAGACTTCAACACTACATAAGATGAAGGAGACATTCTGGACCACAAAGCAGGCTGTCATACAGAAGCTGGGCAAGAAAGAAGATGAACATGTGGTAGCTTCAGACTCGGAACTGGATTCAAAATTAGAGGTCAGTCTTACATTGGTCAGTTTGTGGTCAGTAATCAAGGGCTCAGTCCAATTGTACAGCGGTCAGTGATTAAGGACTCCAGTACACTTAATAATCAAGGATTAAGTCAAGTTAGATACCGGTAGTAATCAAGGACCAATTCAAACAGTAATTGAAGTGGAGTCGGTTTTTAATCAGACTCTGTAATGAAAGCTCAATCAGACTCAAGTAATGGTCAGTAATCAAGAACTCATTCAAACTGGAGAAAGAGCTCAGTAAGACTCAGTTAATCCTGTGTGCACATGATTTTTTTTTTCATGTTTTAGGTATTCAGAGCTATCCAGAAATCTTCTATGGGTTTATTAAGAGTGTTAGAGAAGTATCAGGACAGACTCTGTGGTATGTTTTAATCTTTTACAGACTTTCTGTTTAATATAAATGTGAAGTATAAGTTCTCTTGGATTCTTAGACATTGGGACTTTTTTACCATTTCTTTTTGATTTTAAGCAAAATTATTTAAAATATGTTGAAGGTCATTTTGAAGAGATGTTTAATATTGTATGAATTCGTACACCCACAATGAGGTGCTAATGAAAATATAAGAAAAAATTTTAAACAACCAAAAATCAAAACCCTTATTTAGTATATGATTGCAATCCTTTTATATTAAGTTGTTGTTTTAGTGTTGTCACAAGAGGAGAAAACCTTGTTTTATATTAAGTTGTTGTTTTAGTGTTGTCACAAGAGGAGAAAACCTTGTTTTATATTAAGTTGTTGTTGTAGTGTTGTCACAAGAGGAGAATGCTACAGGGAGATTTTTGAAATCCCAGAGTAACCTGGACAAAACAAGAGCCGGAAAAATGATGGCTGCTGTAGGAAAATCACAAAGTTTTGCTGCTCAGCAAAGGTAATTGTACCACCAGCATGGATTTGTACACATCTATACACACTTGCATTGTACACAGTACATAGAATACAAAAAAATCCTCTAGCTGTAAGAAACTTTATTGTGAAGGTAATTGATGTGTTATTGGTTATTCTGTTGAAAGCTCAGATTTGATTTAATCTTGTATTAAAAAGGGGAAAAAAGACAAGGATCTGTGGTCATCTTTATTTTAATAAATATTTATTCAGAAAAATATGTGTGAATTGGCCACCAAGGCATTCTTATAGACACCCTCTTCAGGTGGTCATCTTTAATGTGATGTGTATAGCATGCACAACTCTGATTGGTAGACTGCTCTAAAGTGGTATAAAGAAGTGCTTGAAATTATCAGTAAAATAGGAGTGAACAAAAGAAGCCAATCTTACAAGTCTTGAGGCATATATTCTGGTTAGAGACCAGAAGAGCTTATGCAATAGTAAGGTGTCTGTCATTGGTCCATCTGTCTAGTTGTCTATTTAGCTGCCTGTCTGTCTGTAAATAATTTTCCAAAATGATACTCCTCCTATAGTTTTGGGCTAGTTTCAATAGACTTGGTACACACATACACTGTATTAAGATACATAATTCTGTTTACCAGTTTTTGATTTCGACAGTGTTGCCATGGTTACTAAAAAAGGAAATTTGTTTGAAATTCTTTCAAAATGCTATTCCTCCTACAGATTGGTTTTAAAATTTTAAGAGAAATTGGTTATACACTCACCTGTGTTAAAAGTTGAGACCAGTATGCGTCACATACATGTATGTATTTTAAAATGTTTATCAGCAGGCATATATTCTGAAGTATCAGTATTAAGTGCTTGATGGGATATGATTTCCTTTAAATATTGGAACACTCATTCAAGTTCATGGAATAAAGTTCACAGAATTGAGAGATAGCATATTGAATACCAGTACTGAGATTGGTTTTTTGACAGGTTATCACTAAGAGTGCCTCTTGTACGTCTCTACCAGGAAGTAGAAACGTTCCGATACCGTGCCATATCTGATACTCTGATGACTATAAATAGAATGGAGGCAGCCCGTACAGAGTATAGAGGGGCTCTGCTTTGGATGAAGAATATCTCTGAGGAACTCGATCCTGACACGTACAAACAGCTGGAAAAGTTCCGAAAAGTAAGTCAAGGCATCAAACCCACAGAAGAACAATCATGAATTATAAAAACAAAACAAAAAAAATAAATAAAGATAGAATTTTTATTAGTGATGAGTAACAGTCCCAAAAATATACATATACATGTATATGCATGCTTGTCTGTGAACAGAGGAAAAATTTATGTAGCATCTTTTTGTGTGATTGTAGAAGTGAAGTACTTGTATAACAATTATGTAAAATATATAATATTTTTCATTTTCAATCAGGTGCAGGCACAGGTGAGAAAGACAAAGGCCAAGTTTGACAAACTGAAGTTAGACGTGATGCAGAAGGTGGACTTATTAGCTGCGTCTAGATGTAACATGTTCTCTCATGTCCTCGCTAACTACCAATCTACGCTACTACACTTCTGGGAGAAAACCTCGCGCACCATGACAGCTGTGGCAGAGAGCTTTAAAGGATACCAATATTATGAATTCAACATTATCAAAGTAAGGGAGGTCAGAGAGAAAGGCTGAAAATTTCCCTCAATAAACTGCTGAATTTTAAAAGCAGTTTTGTTGGGTGAAAGTGTATGAAGTAGAAAATGATTTTATACCAAACAGTTCATTACGTAGTACATGTATTACATGGATTTATACATTTTTGACATGTTAGTATTTTTAGCCCACATGACATTTAACATTTTAGACTTCTTCTCCAGAACCATAGTGCCAATTACAACCAAATTTGCCACAAAGAATCCTTGGGGAAAGGGGATTTATGTTTTCAAATGATGGACAATGCCCTCTCTCAAGAGGAGATAATTAAGATTAAGTAGACATTTGGCCTCATCTTTTAAAAATCTTCTTTTCAAGAACCACAGGGACAAAAACAATGAAACATATATGAATTAAAACTTTATTACTTAGTGTAGATTCAAATTTGTTCAAATCATGATCCCCTGGGGGTAGGGTTGGGCCACAGTAGGCGATCAAAGTTTTACATAGGAATATATAGGAAAAAAATCTCTAAAAATCTTCTTCTCAATAATTCTCAATAACAGCAAAGCCATGATTAATCATATTTATATGGAAGCATCCTCAGATAGTGGAGTTTCAAAAATGACCCCATGGCTAGGATGGGCCATGATAGGGAACAAAGTTTTACTCGGGAATATACTTGTAAATGTACCAGTATATAGGAAAAAATCTTCTCAAGAATGGCAAAAAGCACGATTAATCATACTGATAAAGCATCCGCAGGGTAGTGTACGTGTAGGTTCAAATTTGTTTAAATCGTTATCCTGGTGGGTAGGGTTTGGCCTTATTAGGTGATTGAAGTTTACATAGGAATATATAGGAAAATAAATCTGCTGATGAAGAACAACAGGGCCATAGTGACTCAAGTGAATGTTGTGCTCCATGGGCCTATTGTTTTAATTATGAGTTGGGTCGAAATTAGAGACCCAAATTGTACGTAATGCATAAGAAAAACATCTTCTCCAGAACAGCATGATTTTATTCCACAAAAAGCATTTATTTTCATTCATATTTGTATGTTCTATTTTAGGAACTGGCTGAACCCAGTAAAAAGTTGTCAGAGGAAACATCCAAATCAGAACCAGCAGAAAGAGATACAGCTGATGAGGAATTTGACCCCAGCAAGTAAGTCTCCAGGAATTAGTGTGCATGTATGTTTATGTGTTTATCATCAAGCTAGCAATAGGCTCACAAAAATATGGGGTAACAAATTTGTAGCAATTAAAATTTTTTTCAGTTATTGATTGTTTCCAATAATTTTTTCACCCAGTTTCAAAATAATTATATGTTGCATGCCTGTAGTTAGTTAGTAATCGTGAATAGTAGTTTAAATTGCATGACAGAACCATGCTTTTACATTAAGAAAATCCCTGTCTTTGTTCACGCGTGATTTGTTATATCTATGTTATATCTATGTTGTATGTATTTCATTAAGCTGTAAAAAGTGCACAAGTAGAAAGTCAAATGAAGAGTGGCAGACACCTGTCTCAAGGTCAACAGACCAGGATGACGAGAGGTAATGGCACTCAGGGTGTCTTACAGGAATCTTACCTTGCTTGCAGTATTTATACCTGTATCTCATTTATATGTCAGTGTACATGTATATTTTAAAAGGAGGAATAACACACCAATATAATTCTTTCTAATGGAAATACATGCAGAGATAAAGGTCAATATCATCTAAATAAATTGACTATCTGGGTGGCTCTTTGGTCTGAAACATTAGATTTGTAAACTGTAAATCAGGTCCATCCCAGTAGCCATTTGATTTTTTTCTGAGCATTATTTTACATTCACATTGTTTTGTTTCTGTTATTTTTATTATTTTTTTTATTTTAAAGTTTTTTTGACCAAATGTTTGTTAACACATGTATTTACGTAATAATTTTAATTTATTAAAGTTTTTGAGATGTGTTGGACCTCCTTAACAGAAATAGTTTTATTTGGAGAAAGAGTAGTTTAAATCAACATAAACAGATGATATGAAGATTGTTAAGACAATCTTTATTTTTTTAAGCGAGGGAATATGTCCTGAGTGTGGACATTTCTTTCAAGGAGAGGGAGACAACTATCCTATTACTGATTTAGAACAGAATGTTAAAACAGAGAGTAGTCTCCCTTCACAAAGACAGGAATTGTATTCAGAATCAAGTGAAGAAAATAGGTATTGTTTGTTAAACTAAAAGCACCAGTAATCTGGAGTCTTACACTGTGGTCACTCAAAAGATTAACATATTCTGTACTCAGAGAGAACTTTAGAAACATACAGTGTGTACTAACAAGTAACAAATTTTAAAGTGACTAACCGTGTGTACTAATAACTAACAAATTTTAAAAGTGATTATTTTTACAGATTTGGTGTTTTTAGGTGTGTTAATTTTAAGTCAGAATAGAAGAAACTGACATTATTTTGGGTACATTTTCAAGTAATGAAATAAGGTAGACCTTTCTTCTTTCCATCTTTTCAAAACCACCACTTGAAGGCTTTTTATTGACTATCTGTAGGTTGAGAATCATTCTTAGTCTTAATGAGAATTATGTTTAGTGCACAAGTCAGGAGTACACACTGTTTAAACTGGTATCTGAGCCTAAGCTCATTTATCACAGAAGAATTATCAGGTATTTGTTAAGAAAAAAAATTATATAATCTGAAATATGTGATTTTCAAAATTTGTCATCTGTGCAAGCCTAGGGTTCCTGATCTGAACAATCAGAAAAACCTTGTCTTGCGAAGATGAAAATTGGTAAGCACCACATATATGCTTTTCTTTGCTTATTATACTTTGCATTTGTAAGATGTAAATTTCTACTTTACAGATGTGTATGCTGCAAAGTATTGCATTATACTAGCATAATAGGCGAAAAATATTTCTTCTTGGTTTCCATTTCTTTATTAGTAGACAGTAGACACACTCTACACTTCAAGTGCAATAAAAATAAATCAATAGAGAACAAAGATGTTACCAATTTATGCTCACATTGAACTTTTATTTTTCACCATAAAGCTAGGAAATAATGAATAATTAGATGATTGTTTTATTGTGAAATACTAATATTACAATCTCAATGAATTACATGTAATAGTATTACAATCATAGTGTAATACAAGTCCTAGAATAACAATTAAAATGTAATACACGTATTAGTATTGCTGTCAATGTAATCCACATGCTTGCATTACATGCACAATGTAACACATGTACCAGTATAACATTCACAATGTGATATAGTCATGGTATTACAATTAAAATGTAATATAAAGTACTGGTATTACAAAGTTATTTTAAAACTATTGTCCTAGTATAAATCACAATATAGTAACAAGTATTACATTTACAGTGTAATGCATGCAGAAGTAATACAAGCACAGTGTAATTAGTACTAGCTAGTATAACAAGCACAATTTAATAAACTTTTATTACAAGCACATGCAATGTTAAACATGCACTTGTATTACAAGCATAATGTAATACATTTACTATATAATAATAATTTTATTAAAACTATGTTTGTGAGCATATATAATATTAGCTAGCATATTTATTACACTTATTATCAGCTTAGATAATTTTTTAAGATTTTGAATAGTTTCTCAGCTCTTCTTCTGCCTTGTATCAAGTGTTGGTATAATATAATTCATCACTACAGATATGCATGCATTTGAAATATTTCTACTGATGCGTAGTAGGTCACAAGCTTTTGAAAGTAACATTTATTATGCCCCGCCATGAATATGGCCGGGGCATATAGTGTTTGTCATGTCCGTCTTCCGTCCTTCTGTCCTTCCGTCCTTCTGTCTGTCCTTCCGTCACACTCTGTTCAAAGCTCAGTTTCAAAGAAACTATCCAAGATATTTTTATCAAACTTCATATGCTGATACAAACTGATGAGAGCTATTCAACTGCATCAACATTTTTTGACCTTGACCTTTCTTTTGACCTTGACCTCAATTTTCTTAAATTAGTGTTTAGCTCAGTTTTAAAGATATCATTCAAGATAGTGTAATCAAACTTCATATGTTGATACATACTGATGTAAGTTATTCAACTGCATCAACTTTTTTGACCTTGACCTTTCTTTTGACTTTGACCTCACTTTTTTTAAATTAGTGTTTAGCTCAGTTTTAAAGATACCATTCAAGACAGTGTTATCAAACTTCATATGCTGATACATACTGATGAGAGCTATTCAACTGCATCAACATTTTTTGACCTTGACCTTTCTTTTGACCTTGACCTCACTTTTCTTAAATTAGTGTTTAGCTCAGTTTTAAAGATACCATTCAAGATAGTGTAATCAAACTTCATATGTTGATGCATACTGATGTAAGTTATTCAACTGCATCAACATTTTTTGACATTGACCTTTCTTTTGACCTTGACCTCACTTTTCTTAAATTAGTGTTTAGCTCAGTTTTAATGAAACCATTCAAGATATTTTTAACAAACTACATATGCTGATACATACTGATGAGAGCTATTCAACTGCATCAATATTTTTTACCTTGACCTTTCCTTTGACCTTGACCTCACTTTTCTTAAATAAGTTTTTAGCTCACATTTAAAGATACCATTTAAGATAGAGTTATCAAACTTCATATGCTGATACATACTGATGAGAGCTATTCAACTGGATCAACATTTTTTGACCTTGACCTTTCCTTTGACCTTGACCTCACTTTTCTTTAATTAGTGTCAAACTTTATATGCTGATACATACTGATGAGAGCTATTCAACTGCATCAATATTTTTTGACTTTGACCTTTCCTTTGACCTTGACCTAACTTTTCTTTAATTAGTGTTTAGCTTAGTTTTAAAACCATTCATAATATTTTTATCAAACTTCATATGCTAATACATACCGATGTAACCTTTCAACTGCATAAACAATTTTTTTCTGACCTTGACCTTTCATTTGACCTTGACCTCACTTTTCTTAAATTTGTGTCAAACTTCATATGCTGATACATACTAATGTAAGCTATTCAACTGCATCAATATTTTTTGACCTTGACCTTTCCTTTGACCTTGACCTCACTTTTCTCAATTTGTGTTAAAATGTTGCATTACTAATATACCCTCGGCAGGGCATTCATGTCCTATGGACATATTTCTAGTTATTTATGCACCATTATTATACTTTATATAAATGAAAACATTTCTTCTCTCCTTAAAGGTTGATAGCATTTGATGAGGAAGAAGGAGAAACAGAAAGTGCTGAAATCAGAAATGACAGCTTACAGAATCTATATGACATGAGTACAGAAAGTAAGTCAAAAGTCAAACAGAAAGTAAATAAACAGGAAGTCATAAAGAGAAAGTAAGATGTAAGTAGAGAGTAAGTCGTACAGAGTTCCAGATAAGGTCATATTTGCAGAAATATATTGAATTTTACAAAATATGCTTTGGAATTTAAAATTGGGCGTACAATTACCCAATAGCAATCAGAAATATGCATTATGTTTTGAAAAAAATGTGAATGGTGGATAGAAAAGTACAAGTACAACATCCCAGTATTTAATAAATAAATGTAAATGGAGGTTAGCTGAGTGCTTGAGTTTTCATAAACAAAAATATTAAATTTATAGCCTTCCTTAAAAAAAACTGTAGACAATTCTAGCAATCCAAGAATCTGTAAAATTAGCAGTGAACACAATGTTAGAACAGTGTGGGCAAACTAAGATTTTTCTACTTAAAAAAAAATGTCACTGAGTGTTTTTGTGTGCCTTAGGAACTTTGCCTTTTGCATGGTCTTTCTCTGCAAAAAAATCAAACATTTAAATCAGTTACTGTACAATTAAATGATGACAAAGGATCATGTTGACATTACGTATTTCAATGTTGCATATATGCAGGAACTATCCCTTTATTTCTTTTTTCTTTTAATCTTAATCTAAGATAACAATTTAAGTGCAAAACAGCATTGATTTCTGGCCCCTCATGAGTAAAATATTCTTAAATGACAAAACAGCCAATGTTAGCTTTATTAACAAAATACTATTTTTTGCTGAGAAGCAAAATTTGAATTGATTTGAAAATCAGGGAATAAATACTGTACTGTGGCATAAAATTATCTGGAGCTTTGTATTGTTTTGAACTCACCTCATCTTCCTGCCTTTATTGACCAATTAGTGATTTCTGGAAATGAAACTTACAAACTCACCATATTTGCAAAAAAAAAAAAAAAAAAATTCAAATAAATACCGGGGTATAGATTTCTTAGGAGACCTGTTTGTCAAGGCCATAGAGTTGAATAATGTTACAACTAACAGATGTAATTCTAATAACCAATATGTAAATAAAAGAGATATTACTGGTATCCAGTATAAAGAAGGTCTGTCAATGTATTCTAAGCATAAAAATATTATGGCAAACTTTATATTAGAGAACACAAACTTTTTATAATAGTTGTGATATGTAAAAGAATGGTTAGCTCTTAGTATATATTTTCAAACATTTTCACAGATCAGAACAATTCCACTGACCTTGGAAACAATGTCAAGGATTCGGCTCCATTTATAGAGATGGAGGATGACTCGGGAGAGTTAAAAGATGAAGATTTTGATTTCTCTGGAGCCTTTACATCGAGTGAGAAACCAGCAGGGTCAAGGTCAGAGAAAGGTAGGAGCATTCTGGGCACAAGTATGGGAAGAAATGACAGTAATTTTTTTTTTTTTAAGAACTACATATAGGAAATGGTAGAATTTTTACCTATACTTCATACAACTTTACCGTAAATGCGGATATTTTTACAGGATAAAATTTTACGATTTCTGTGGAACAAAGCATTGTATTCGGGGGAGGGGGGTGTTATGGTTGTTTTTGCAGAAATGAAAGAGTTTACAAAATGTGTTGGTTTGTTGTTTAGTATGGTACCTTACCTGACATCATTGAGGTAGTGATAAATTTTGCCAAACTTTTAAAAATAGCAGAATTCCCAAAATTTTCCATGTTAGCAGTACTTTTCTTGTACTGGTTTATGTATTTTCCCCCATTTTCACAGCTGATTGTTAAACATGAAATAAGTTTTGTTGTGAAATTTTCATTATGAATGAAAATATAAAAAAAAGGGGGGGGGAGGGGACAGAAAACCAAATTCAGAACACAGCAAAAAGTTGTTGTGAAGGAAAAGTGAAAATAACCATGCAGCATGAAATGAATTTTTAATATGTCAATATTTGATAGGTAAGTATGTAAGGTAAAACACATAAATTCAATGGATACCAGGTACTCCTTTTTGAGATTTCATTGCACTGTAAAATTACCACATAAACGAAGAGAAAAACTTGTAAACTTTAAATTCATTTATTATTTTAATCAAACAATTTGATTTGCATTTTGCTAAAACCAGTGCTCTTGTGAAACTTTGATTTTTCTAAAAGTATGTCATTCAGTGATTACAGTGATTTAATCATATCAAGCAATAGGTTTTGGAGTTTCCTAAGTCGATCACTAGTAAGAAATAAACTGCCCGAATTCAAGAAATATCAGTATACCCAGTATTTGGGATGTGAAATATCATTTATCTTTTAAGCTTTTTAATAATAGTACATTACAAATATTTGTACAATCTAACTTTTCCTAATGCCTCAGACACCATGAAAAATCCCTTCTTAGAAATGCCGACAGCCATAGGATGCCATATACTGTTGGCTTTAGTGAGTAAAAATTTGTTGAGCTTTCCATCAGGGTTTAGTAGGTGAATACGATGATTTTGGTTGTCTGCCACAAAAATGTATCCATACTCATCCACACAGATTCCAAATGGCTGCAAAATCTGCTGCTCTTTGATTCCGTAGGTACCATATTCTGCGATGAAGCGTCCCTCCATGTTGAACACCTTGATGTTTGGAGCAGCAGTATCAGTGACTAGGATGTTATCCTCATGGGTAGTAGCAATGTAAAATGGGTCAACAAGGATCCTGTTGCCTTTCTGGTCCAGGGCTTCTATTGTTTTGATCAGATTTCCTGATTTAGGGTCGTGAACAGTGATCCTTTGCTGGCGACAATCTACGACTAGAATTTCTCCTTTGCTGTTGGTCGTTATGCCACGAGGATGTTTGAAAAAGCCTGATATAGTGAGAACATGGTTTCCATCCTGTGTGAAGACCTTGACATTTTCTTTTTCATAATCGGTGACTGCAATACTATCATTTTCTAGTGCTGTAACATCAAAAGGAATTCCTATCTTATTATCATTCTGTCCTGTGAATTCCTTCAGAAGTTTCCCTACTGAGTCAAAGATCTTGATCTTCTTGTTATCCCTGTCCACAATTGCTATATTATCCTTCTTAGTGACTGCCATCCCAGTGGGCCAGATATCTCGGTTCTCATCTGTTCCTTCTGAGTCAAAGGATAGTAGGAACTCTGCAGTGCTCTTGACATTGGGTAATACTGAGGTTATTTTTAATTCTCCTCCTGATAACTGAGCTGACTCACTTTTTCCTATGGGTACTTTGTCATTGGAAAGCTTGCCAAACAAAGTCTGAACATTCTGCTCTGTGTTTGCCCCAGGTATAAATCCAATCTTAAGTTTGGCTGTAAGTCCATCCAGTTGCATTTTGATGAGTTGAGTCAACCTGGTGGTGATCTCCCGGTGCATGACCAGAATTTCCTCTGGTTTTCCATGAGTCATCAGTCGGTTCAGGAAATGAGCATTGTTATGTAGAGAGGTAGAGGCTATCTGTAGGTTGTTCAGTTTCTCTTTAGCCTGATCCATCTCAGTTTCACATGCTTCTGTGATTTCTTGTTGAAGCTTGTTCTTGCACTCATCAATCAAACTGTGTAGACTGTCTGCCTGTGTCTGTGTGTTTGTTAGTAACTGTTGTTTGGTCTGCTCCAAATTTTCTGAGTAATTTTCTAGAAATTGGCAGTAATTTTGTATGGAAGGAAGTCGAGTCCTGATGCTAGCAATCAGTCCTTTGATCTGTTTGGAATATTTAGGCAGAGCATTTTCAAAATCAATAATATTGTGACCTCCATGTTGAGATGTTTGGCACTGAGGACAGTTCAGCATTTCACAGTCAGTGCAGAAAGACGTCAGAGAATTATTTTCATGTTCATTACACTTTAGGGTTTGATATTCTCTGATGTCGTGATCATAGAGTCCATTTCTAATTTGTTCGTAAGGCACTACTTTATGATTCCGGGTTATCTTTGTCTTGTGATGAGCTTCCTGACAATCACCACACATATCATCGTGGCAGTTCAGACATAGAGACACCGCATCCACGGTTTTACCAGCAAACTTACAGTAATCACACTGCCTGTCTGTATCATGTTTGTATTTGTAAAGTATACACAAGTCCTGTATGAAAGCATTGCTTTGGAACATACTGCCTCCCTCTTCTGGTAGTGATATTGAGGACACACACACAGGACAAGAGAACTGTTGGAGGACCTCACCATTAGGAATGTTTTCTGAGGACTTGGTGTTTTCTGCTGGAGCAGTGATCTGTCGAGGAAGCTTCTGAATGCAGTCTTCACACAGGCTGTGTAGGCATGGGAGCAGGCGAGGGTTCTGGTAGTCATGGCAACAGCTGGAACACTTCAGGAAGTTGGAATTCACTAATTCAGCTAGAGTTTCTTCTGTATCTTCCATGTTGTCACTGTACATGAAAAGAATAAACACTGGATTTAGTTGTGCTTGCAATGTTAAGAGATTTTAAATGCACGATTTCACTTACTTTTTTTCAAATCTTAGTCTATAAGGGAATGAAATGTAGATACTATGCTTAGGTATATTAAAGGTGATGAACAGAGATTATGAAGATAAGGCATTGTATTTTATTTAGTATAGCTGTACATTCAGCAGTGTTCAGTTAATGAACATATTTATCTTCTTTTTTTTTTTATTTATATACAATATACATTTCAGTGTTTACAGATGTGAACAAATTAAACCTCCACTGTGACACATTATTGGATATGTTTGTACTTTGTGACTGGAAATTAGCAGTGCTAGTTTACCATACATTGATTATTTAATTGTCTGGGTATCAGAAAAGAGTTGTCATATTTCCTGCTCCAAGTCAATATCCATTCCCAGAGAGTTCTAACAAGAAGGCAATTACATTCTTTGTGTTTTAGGGTATTTGCGTTATCAGGGTGGGGATGATCATTAAATCAACTTTTCCCAATATTTCTTTGGTGATTAAACATGATTTGTAAATGTTGGTATGTTTGTTTAAAGTGCTGTTTTAGACAAGCTCCTGGTTTAAAATAACATGGCCATGATCTATGCATACAAATGTATAGCATGTATTTTACATAAATTTAACTTTGTTGAAGCTTATTTAAAATTGTCGATTAAGCGTATTCAGTTGATGAATTTTTTTAAAAATTCATTTTGTTTTTCAGCACAGTGTAAATTTTAATTAATTTTTTGACTTTGACCATAAATTCATTGTGTAAACTAGAGTATACCTTTTATATACAAAAAGGAACAATCTGGTTGTAATAGTGAATAGGAATAAACAATTTCAAAAAGACTTTTCCTTAATAAGACAATTAATTAAGCCAATGAAGTGTAAAGAAGATATCCAGTTAAATCTTACCTGTTGGTTTATTTGTCTGAATTAATTCCTTAGTCTATATTTGATATTTCTCTATGATGTTGAGTTTGTCCACTAGTCCGTAGATCTGATATTCTGTTGTCTCTATGATAACTCGTCAGGTACAACTCTGTCGACACTGCGATCACCAACAGCGATCCCCAACAACTAAATCCGTAAACTGCTATAGCCTGCTCCCATTTAAATCTTCCAAAATTGAATTTACTTTTTTATTTTCTTACTAGCATTTAAATTACTCCTACTTATTTTGTTCCTATGTGGTGTTCAGACACTGAGGTGGAACCTGTCGATGGTTTAAAGCTAGAGATGATTTTCTGGGCATTGATTGGGTCATGATCAGATCAAATTGACGGCCCATAATGACATTTAAGTCAGATATAGAAAAGGAGTATTGATCCATGTACAGCTATTTTAATGTTATCTTACACTGATTGTCAAATGTATTTTATGGAATTTTTATCAACAAAAAGATGGAATTTTTCTGATAAGTGCACTTAAAACATTTCTTTCTTTTTTTGAATTACATTAGCAAGTCTGAATTGATCCATATTCTCATCTGCTTTTGATTGTGACTAGATAAATATTCAGTCACATGAATTTATTGTAAGAGGGGAAATAAATACAAATTTTATACCGTAAATATTTAAAACAAAACATATTTCATATTCAATAGATTTCATTAAAAAAAAAAAAGAAAAGGTCTCTAAGGTTTGCCACCTAAAGTAATTCAATTGTGTATTCTTCTTAGAGAATTTTTCTGAACATTTGTATAATGTTTAACAATTGTTTTAGGTAGAAAATGTTTCTAATTATGGCAGAGCTTTATCAGTGAAATGGTTGAATTACATTTGAAAGTGCACATTTACAGTAACATATTTTGAAGTTCTGGGTTGTTGCACTTCAATCTACAGGTTAACCTTGCATGTTGAGGTAAATCCATTTAATGAGAATTAATCATTTAAGCCTCTAACATTTCTTATTTTTCAGTTCCAATCCTGAATTATATGTCCTTATGTAGGTATAACCCATTGTTATGTGGTATTTAAGTGTGCCACAGTGCTCAGTATATTTAATCTGTAGAAAAAACACACTGCTAAGGCAAAGAGCAAATATTTCATTGGAAGTTAAAGGAAATCTACAGTTGAAAACCAATTTCAATTGGCTTTGAAAACATTTAAAGGAAACTTTTCTGCTAGTGAAAGAAGTACAGGAAAGCTTTAATTAAAGCCATCATTTTATAAAGCTAAAGATTTCCTGATTATGAACCAGCAGACAATTATATATCTCAACAATGTCCATTGAATTTGAATAAAAGTTACACTCATTTTCTTATAATCTTTAGAAACTCTATTTCAGAATGAGAAAAAAAATCTTGAATACTATCTCTTTAGTAATTTTAACCCAGAAAATGGCTAATACTCGGTCTAAAAGAATTTTTTCTTATACTTTTAAGATTTACAGCTGTTAAAAGTGAAGTACATTAATTGGCCTGGATATGAGGTCCTACTCCTATTTTATGTTTGTGGACTTTGTTGACAGATTGGCATGTATTTTATCGCTATCACTTGACTAGGTCTGATTTTCACTACATAATCCCCTTGTAGATGATAAGTGGGTTATACAGGGGGCTTTCAAATCAATAATTTCTCTTCAAATGAGTTACCTTCTAGGTTGTAAAATGTTAATATCTGACAATATCCAATACTTTATTCACCGTAAAAATGTTTACAGAGCAATATATATTTCGATCATCTTAATTAATTTTTCCTAGTCATATGAAGGGTTATATATTTTAGTAGAGTACAGTGCAGTTTTACTTCAGAAAATCATATTTGAAAACATTGAATTTTGTTTTTGAACTAACCCAGGTGAGCCATGTAAATTTCCAATGTATGCATATCTTTCAGAGACCATCCAACTTTGAATATATTCCAACAAGCCATTACTGTGAGATACCTGGTAGATGTATATCATTACTATATGTTCTTGTTTTGATTTTGTAGTGATCTCTGACCTTTTGGCTGATGACCTTCCTCTGGGTCAGGATGACACAGACAAAGATGACCTGACAATTCTGAATGAGATCCTAAATGCCCCCTCCACAGGTGGGGATGACTTCTCAAAGGAGTGGCAGGCGGTGTTTGGAACCATGCCCCTCTCTACCGGCACCACCTACACTCAGGGGGAGACAGATCAGGCCGAGTTCATGCCCTCTAATCTTCTGGATCTCAACAAACAGATGTCAGGCATGAGCTTATCTCAGAGTGAGTAGTCAGGATGAGTCTATCGTTGAGTTTAAAGCCTAAGTTGTCCTCACTGTGTTAATTATATTTGAGTTTGAGCATGGAGGGAGTCTGGAATGTAAAATGTAAGCTTATTTGAGTGTGTGTATAGTATGCACATATATCAGACTGAGTGCAAGATATCACCGAGCAAATATCAAGCGTAAATTAATATTTGATAGTTTTAATGTGTTAACTTCCATCAGGATAATTTTATTAATCAAGTTTATCTCAGTGTCAAGTCCAAGTTTTCTCAGAGTGAATGTAAAACTGAAGCTTAATTATTGCAGTAAATGAATAAAGTTAAACCTTGTTTCATTGAAAGTGAAAGTATTAATTTAAGTGTAAATGGATAAGTCAGACCATAAGCTAGTGTCAGTTTATCTCAGATTTAGCACAAAGGATTAATTTATCTCAGAGATGAGCATAAATTTACCTCATACCGAGCACAATTAAAGCATTAATTTATCTCAGAGATGAGTATAAATTTACCTCATACCGAGCACAATTAAAGCATTAATTTATCTCAGAGATGAGTATAAATTTACCTCATACCGAGCACAATTAAAGCATTAATTTATCTCAGAGATGAGTATAAATTTACCTCATACCGAGCACAATTAAAGCATTAATTTATCTCAGAGATGAGTATAAATTTACCTCATACCGAGCACAATTAAAGCATTAATTTATCTCAGAGATGAGCATAAATTTACCTCATACCGAGCACAATTAAAGCATTAATTTATCTCAGAGATGAGCATAAATTTACCTCATACCGAGCACAATTAAAGCATTAATTTATCTCAGAGATGAGCATAAATTTACCTCATACCGAGCACAATTAAAGCATTAATTTATCTCAGAGATGAGTATAAATTTACCTCATACCGAGCACAATTAAAGCATTAATTTATCTCAGAGATGAGTATAAATTTACCTCATACCGAGCACAATTAAAGCATTAATTTATCTCAGAGATGAGCATAAATTTACCTCATACCGAGCACAATTAAAGCATTAATTTATCTCAGAGATGAGTATAAATTTACCTCATACCGAGCACAATTAAAGCATTAATTTATCTCAGAGATGAGTATAAATTTACCTCATACCGAGCACAATTAAAGCATTAATTTATCTCAGAGATGAGCATAAATTTACCTCATACCGAGCACAATTAAAGCATTAATTTATCTCAGAGATGAGCATAAATTTACCTCATACCGAGCACAATTAAAGCATTAATTTATCTCAGAGATGAGTATAAATTTACCTCATACCGAGCACAATTAAAGCATTAATTTATCTCAGAGATGAGTATAAATTTACCTCATACCGAGCACAATTAAAGCATTAATTTATCTCAGAGATGAGTATAAATTTACCTCATACCGAGCACAATTAAAGCATTAATTTATCTCAGAGATGAGCATAAATTTACCTCATACCGAGCACAATTAAAGCATTAATTTATCTCAGAGATGAGCATAAATTTACCTCATACCGAGCACAATTAAAGCATTAATTTATCTCAGAGATGAGCATAAATTTACCTCATACCGAGCACAATTAAAGCATTAATTTATCTCAGAGATGAGTATAAATTTACCTCATACCGAGCACAATTAAAGCATTAATTTATCTCAGAGATGAGCATAAATTTACCTCATACCGAGCACAATTAAAGCATTAATTTATCTCAGAGATGAGCATAAATTTACCTCATACCGAGCACAATTAAAGCATTAATTTATCTCAGAGATGAGTATAAATTTACCTCATACCGAGCACAATTAAAGCATTAATTTATCTCAGAGATGAGTATAAATTTACCTCATACCGAGCACAATTAAAGCATTAATTTATCTCAGAGATGAGTATAAATTTACCTCATACCGAGCACAATTAAAGCATTAATTTATCTCAGAGATGAGTATAAATTTACCTCATACCGAGCACAATTAAAGCATTAATTTATCTCAGAGATGAGTATAAATTTACCTCATACCGAGCACAATTAAAGCATTAATTTATCACAGAGATGAGCATAAATTTACCTCATACCGAGCACAATTAAAGCATTAATTTATCTCAGAGATGAGCATAAATTTACCTCATACCGAGCACAATTAAAGCATTAATTTATCTCAGAGATGAGTATAAATTTACCTCATACCGAGCACAATTAAAGCATTAATTTATCTCAGAGATGAGTATAAATTTACCTCATACCGAGCACAATTAAAGCATTAATTTATCTCAGACAAGCACAAGTTTACATCATATTAAGTATAAATTATTACCAAGTTCATTCTATAGTGAAAGAAGAATGCAAATTTATTTCAGAGTGAGTGTAAAGTGTGCACTAAGAGTGCATGTGATTCAGAAGTATAAGCTTTTCTAAGACTGTTTGTAAATTATGTGAAACTAAGTACAGATATACTGTATTTTGTTTGTTACCTAGTTTTATATCTTCATCCTTGTGAATATCTTCATCTTTAGAAATATGCTTAAAGCGAATAGTTTTATTTTAATTATTAAAGTATAAACTGTCAGAACATGTTTTCAATAGGTACCCCATCTGCTGGGGCCCAGACTTCAAGTAAGCCCCCCGTCACCAACAAGTCACAGCCACAGCAAACCAAATCAAAAACCAGTAAACAGGTATAGTATATATATAATTCCTTCATAGTTTGCAGGACATATGCCATCTAGCAGGTATGTTATAAAAGTAAGGCCTCTGTAGTTAACAAGTCAGAAACCATTATGTGTACTGTCAAATCTTGTTATCTTAAAGTCGATAGGACTAGGAAAAACTTCGAAATATCAGAGGGTTCATAATATTGAAGTTGAAATATATAGAGAAAAAGTGTTTAGGATTTCCACCTCCCTCTTTTTGACATATCTATGGTGTTTGAGATGTGGATGTTTGAGATACCGAAGTTCACTGTATATACATGTACTAGTATTCAAAAGCTGTTGTTGATAAGTCAGAAATCAACTTAAAAAGGCACAGAGTATCAGTAAGATAAGTTCTTGTGGATCACAAGTCATAAACCAGGATAAAGTTAACAGCTCCTGCATTATTTCATTCCACACAAATACCTGCATGAAATAGGCTTGATGCAGCAGTACACATAGTTTTTACGTATAAATACTGTATACTGGGAATTTTTGCCCCCGCTTTATTTTCACCCCTTTTGCCTTCGTCACAATTGGGCAAATTTAAAAATGGGCAAATTCAAAGAAAAACGGCATTATCTCTTACACAGAACTGAGTCTGGGCGAATCCAAAACGAGACAAAATTGTTTGCAGGTGTAAAAGGGCGAAATTAAGACGGGGCAAAATAATCCTGTAAACAGTATACAGTCATGTCTAGTTCATGTGGACACTTGTGTTCCCATGCAGTTCATCCAGAGTAATGAAGCATGTGGATTCTTCACCATTAAGATAAATATTCTTTAGATACTTCAAGATAATGTTAAAGATTTTTAAAGAGAGACAACTCTGCAGAATAATTTCTAACTACATAACTTTATATTTCTAGGGGAGGAAGGACATGTCAGCTTGGTTCAGTCTGTTTGCTGATCTCGATCCTCTTTCCAATCCTGATGCAGTCGGCAAGACATCAGATGACATGCAGAGTGCCCAGTTCTAGTCCTGTGCTAATCTGGTTACAGTTTACTTGTCATGACCACACCATTTGGCTCATCTCATGATTGTGAACTATATATACTACTGCATTTATGCTTATAAATTCAACCTGACTCATTCTGCCTGTAACTAAATGGTCTCTAAACTGTTGGTTTTACCACAGCTCCTATTTGTAATATTTATTATCAGGTATTATTCATTGGGTTAGTGACAGGGTATAATATTTGACTATCTAAATAATCTTGTTCTACAAGTATTTGTGCAGTGCATTCAAAAAAAAAAAAGTCCTTGTTTGAGTGATTTATTCATAAAATGTAAGGGAAATCAATGCTTGTCTACTCAGTTACATGTGTATTAACATACATGTATTTTTTTTTCTTTTTTCAATAAGAATCTAGTTATCTCTTTATAGATAAACTTTATACAATGTTTTCTGTCGATTGATGTTTTCTGTGTGAGCTGAATCTCAGATTGTGATATGATATCCACTGATTCCGCGTCCTCTCAGATTGTATCTGTACTGTTTTGTGTCTTTTGTTATACTGAAATTCCTTATTGTTGTTATGTTATAGATTTTGTAGATTTTATATTAACAAGATGTGCATATCTGATAAGCAGTTTATGACAAGAATGCAGGTATGTATAATATGGTATATGTTTAATGATTATTATGCAAAACTAATTTCAATATGAGAAACATTGACTGTAAGAGTATACCTGTATTCAATACATGTATTTGATTTAGAAATGGTTTTTATAGAACTTAATGTTTAGCAAGGGTTTTCCTATATAAGGAATGCAATTAGTTTTTAAAATTTATTGTAAAAGTGTTAATTAGCAGTTCTAACTATGTCAGATTTTTGTTACTGAATACTTGTACAATAATATTGTACATGTAACAGTTGTTACAAACTAAAATCATTGATTAGGAGTTGTGGGTGGGGTGGGAGGGTCCATATACCAGCAATATTTATTGAGTGATACATCTAGCATTGTTAGGAGAGACTGAATGAAATGTTTATGACATTAAGTCTTATTACTGTTGTTAGTGTCTAGGAGTGCAATACATGAAATATTAACGCATTATGTATATTATGTAGACAAATATTCATACATATTATTATAGATTTAACTTCACTTATTTCTATTATTTCTAGCACCCAGATTTTCAATCATTGCACAAAATCTTCATTAAGATATTAAAACTTCAAAGGAATGAGTTGTACAGTGTATTGTACAGTGTATTTCCAATTCGCTATTGTTTTATAAACCAATGTACACAAATTGAGTTCAAGTATTATTTACAATTTGAAAGTTCCTGAAATTCTGTGGTGAATCTCATTCCATGTAAATTCAATCACATTCCATTATTAGCTGTTGAGATCTCGTGTTTCATGAAAGCTTTAATTACTAAAGTATTCTTTATTAGATGAAATCCAGCAAGAAGGTTGTGGGGCATTTTTCCTTTATTTTTTTTATTGTGATATTAGTACATGTATTTTTGTTTATTTTTTGCTATTGTTATTTTTCATGATGTCCTTCCTGTAAATTTGAAAATAAATTCCTGTCTAATGTCATGCAGATTTTTTTGTTATTAGAATAAATACAAGTACACTTGATATTAGGGAATTCTGACTAAAGTTTTTTTTTTAATTTGTGGCCAGATTGTGAAGCAAAACTAGTCTGTGGATTAATGACGTACAATTTTGTTCATCCTTCTACATGGAAATTTCTTCCATTTATCTGTACATGTATTTTGATAATGTGAAAATCAGTGGTTCAAAGACCTACATCATAGTTTTTATCTTGTCATTTGAATTTAAAACAGGTAAACAAACCGCTTCCATTTAGAATTGCCTATGATAGAAAGGTGTATAAGGTTTATCTGTGATGATAGGTACATAAGAATTACCTGTGATGATAGGCACATAAGATTTACCTGTGATGATAGGCACATAAGATTTACCTGTGATGATAGGTACATAAGATTTACCTGTGATGATAGGTATATAAGATTTACCTGTGATGATAGATACATAAGATTTACCTGTGATGATAGATACATTTAAGAATTACCTGTGATGATAGGTATATAAGAATTACCTGTGATGATAGATACATAAGAATTACCTGTGATGATAGGTATATAAGAATTACCTGTGATGATAGGTACATAAGAATTACCTGTGATGATAGATACATAAGATTTACCTGTGATGATAGATACATAAGATTTACCTGTGATGATAGATACATAAGATTTACCTGTGATGATAGATACATAAGATTTACCTGTGATGATAGGTATGCAAGAATTATTTGTGATGATAGATACTTAAGAATTACCTGTGATGATAGGTACATAAGAATTACCTGTGATTATAGGAACATAAGAATTAAATGTGACGATAGGTACATAAGATTTACCTGTGATGATAGGCACATAAGATTTACCTGTAATGATAGGTATGTAAGAATTACCTGTGATGATAGATACATAAGAATTACCTGTGATGATAGGTACATAAGAATTACCTGTGATGATAGGCACATAAGAATTACCTGTGATGATAGGTACATTAGATTTACCTGTGATGATAGATACATAAGATTTACCTGTGATGATAGGTACATAAGAATTACCTGCGATGATAGGTATGTAAGAATTATCTGTGATGATAGATACATAAGAATTACCTGTGATGATAGGTACATAAGAATTACCTGTGATGATAGATACATAAGAATTACCTGTGATGATAGGTACATAAGAATTACCTGTGGTGATGATAGGTACATAAGAATTACCTGTGATGATAGGTATGTAAGAATTACCTGTGATGATAGATACATAAGAATTACCAGTGATGATAGATACATAAGAATAACATAAGAATTACCTGTGATGATAGGTACATAAGAATTACCTGTGATGATAGGTACGTAAGAATTACCTGTAATGATAGGTACATAAGAATTACTTTTGATGATAGGTACATAAGAATTACCTGTGATGATAGGTACATTAGGAAGAGAGGACTAGAACAAAACCACTTTTCTGCAGGTTGATAGGGCACAAATCATTGTCGCAAGCCACTTGTTTTGAGTCCATTCTATTTCCACAAACTGGGGGAACAGTTTACATTTATTAATGTATGCAGCATCAGATCAGTCATAAATAAACAACTCTTTCTCTCTAAAAACTATTCTATTTAAGGCCATTTTTGAACAACAAATAATTCATATATACAGATTTGAATACTTCTTATGTTATTAAAATCCTGACATGTTTATAAGTAGGGGATTTAGTAACATGAGAAAGTAGTAACTGTATTTTGTAACTTCTTGTTAACTTTAGTAACTTGTTGTATACTGGAAGGAGGCCACAATGTTACAACCATTAAGAGTTATAAAATCCTCCAGTCTGAATTTCCCTCTCCACTGACTATTAACCAGAGAGGTGTCTGGGTCTCCGTTTTGTTCCAGCAGGTAAAATATGTATCTGTGAGGGTTACTGGTCCCCGGCTGTGGCTTAGGAGGAGTGGGAGGATTATATTCTACAAAGAAAAGGAGGAACTAAAAACAATCTGTACCTTAAGTGAAATTATATATATCAATTCATGGTTGCTTCGTATGGGGTCATCTGTAAGTAAACTTACCCATGACAACATCACCTTTTGCATTTCCACTCATTAAGTCGACTCCCTGTTGTAAGAATTTTAAAAAAACAATTTTAGTAAATTGGAGTTTTGATAGTTTTATTCCTATCAGAAGCCATTCATTTTTCTGGTCTCTATGATTTCATTTAATATATTAAGAACCATTTTATGGATTTCTGAATTAAATAAATCTGATGATGACCTTAATGTTGGTGACTAGCCAGTGGAGCCAGTATTTCTGGGTCGGGTTATCTTTGAATGGGGCATCAGGATCTGCCATCACCAGTGTGTATATAGCATCCTGAAACAGAGGAGTAAAAAGCTGATCTTGAAATGCAAATAAATTGATCACAAAGATATTTTTTGTTAAGCACATCCTCACAAGATCAGGGGTCCAGAATCAACTTGTTGGATGTCCAACAGCAATAGTTGAATCAAGAACCTGATGTTGTGAGGATGTATAAAACTTGGCCATGCACAGATCTAGAGGGGGGCTCCAGACCCCCTCCCCTGGAATTTACAGATTTATTTAAAGTATATACTGAGGCAAATAAAAAATGACTTATGACTTTGGACCCCCCCCCCCCCCGAGAAAACGTGGACCCCACCATCACCACCACGGAATAGGTTTTTTTCACCTTTGGGCAAATGGATTTTTTTTGGGGGGGGGGGTATCAAGAATTTTTCTGGGTTTGGGAAGGGAATTTGTTTTTGCTTGTCAAGATATTTCTGGGTAGGATTTTTTGGGGGGGGGGCTGAGATGGACCACTCCCCCTGGAAAAATTCCTGGATCCGCGCCTGATGGTTGGCTTAAAATTATACCATCCCCCCTTTCTCACTTTTCAGGCTTGCATTCGATCAATGCATTAACTTCCAAAGGTAAAAGGAAATATTTTGACGTTTACTCCAATTCTATACGATTATATAAATTCCATCAGATCGTTTTTTATGTATCAGTCATGCTGCATTGCAGAGAGTATATAGATAGCAATCCCTATAAGATATCTTCTTCCTTAAATAGATACATGTGTATCTCGTGCTTGGCTTGCGTTGGAGTATCAATATATTCACATTTTATTCTTTTGTTTGAGTTAAAAATCGGTGAAATAGAATGAAATTACACCATTTACTTACAGCCCTGGCATGCTCAAATTTGACCATCGGAGCTTCTTTAGCCGCTGCCTTGTCAATCGTACCTCCACACCCGTTGTACACCGTCCCACCCCCGGGGCTGGTTAGGGTGAGCTTACGTGCGGAATCAGAGGGACAATTATCTTGAGGGAGTTGACAGGCCTTCAATCCCTCCCAAAACAGGAGGAACATGACAACAAAAAAGACAGAAGTCGTCATGATGCTGAAGTAAAAAGAGGAAGTCAAGTTACTGGATTATTGCCCTGTCCATGTGTGCATCCTGTGTTGTTATAAAACTTCGTCGATGTATTGATCGAATGTCAACAGTGTTTTTTTCTTCTGTAATACATAACATAGTATGAATAACGAATAACAGGTAAAGAATATATTGGTAAACCATATACAGTACAGGTCCGTAGCAACGATTTCAAAAGTGGGGGGGGGGGCAACCCCCCCCCCCCCCCGAAGTCTGACAAGCAAAAAATAGATAAATAAACTGACCAAAAAGTGAAAATGGGGGCACTTCTTGAAAATAATCTGGCAAGCATTTTAAAAAAATATGAAAAAAAAATACCAACAACAAAAATATCATTTACTGTCCAAATCCTGGAGTTTGCCAGTGCTTGTCCATATAGCAACAAATGCTGTAAATATTTTTGCCGATATATTAGTAGTTATAGAAAACAAAGCTATTTATGGTGGACGTACCCTCTAAACAATTAGTCTGATTAGTTAGGTTTTTTTCTTTCGAGAGGAATTGTTGCCAAGGAATTTTTGCTTTGTATACCCCTCTACTAAAATGTTTTGCCCCCCCCCCCCACCCCCACCAGATTGCTTTCTACGGGCCTGTATCTAGTCTTTTTTTTTCAACAATTTGCATTTGACCACACCGTCAAACACCAAGACATGAAAATGGTAATAAAAGTAAGAAATTTCGAACATTGAGAATTACTTACGTTTTGTCGTTTTTGTCAATAAGGGAGCCGGAATGCGTCTCTGACTTCTGAAGCTTGTTAACCTCTTTCTCTACAGGTTCCTTGTTATCCCCCTTTCCAGGTCGGATGCTATGAAATTTTATATCAGTTTTTTTAAGTGTAGCTAGCAATTTTATGAATGGATATATAATTAGGCCATTCGGATGGAGAGAGAGAGAGAGAGAGAGAGAGAGAGAGAGAGAGAGAGAGAGAGAGAGAGATTGATTGATTCATATTTAAGGGGGGGGGCAGCACTGACATTTAAGAAGTACATGTACTAAAACATAAACTATAGACCTATATTTGTATAGAATTGTAGTTTTATATAGGAGGTAGTCCTAATAAAAATAGAGAAACTATTATATTGATCTCTCAATATGCATAATTGGCGAACTCTCAGCTAGAGAGTCTCTCCCATCGCGCGGCCCCTCTCGCACAGCCATATACATATTGTATTTTGTCAACCTAGATTTTTTTTTATGAAAACGCACATTCGACAATCAGAGATTTCTAGAAGCCTCAAGGAACTGAATATTTTCTGGCCCGAATCAATATCCTACTATATAGATTGAACTGTTGAATTGATTATTTTTAATACACAAGATAATCTTGTCAATTTTTAATTTGTAAAATGTCTTACCTCTTTCTTCCCTCTACTTTCATTAAGATTTTTAAATTATTATTCACACATATTATTTAGTATCACCTTGATAAGCAAAAATTGCCTCGGGCATTAATTTTCTGAACAGTAATGCCAAAGCGCGTAACTACACTTAGAACTTTTACAGGAAAAAACGTGCATCAGAATAATGCAAAATGTACATAAATATGAAGTTTACATCGCTAAAGTGATGAGGGCGGATAAGTTTACCTACATTTAACAGATGATTTGGCACTGTTTAATATTTTTTCTCGTGTAGAAAAATGGGTGCGCTTTCTTGATTATTTCGGAAATCAGTGGTCTGGACCAACATATTTGAGCATTATTGGGGTATTCCAGGTTCCGTGTTGAAATTTTGACGTGTAACAAATATTGCTTATTTAGCAACCATGATTAAGACAATAATACTGATTGGAGGACCAATGAAAGGTAATACATTACTAAAAAAAAACTGTAGTCATAACCAAGCAGGATTAAATGATGTTTGTCCCAATGCGTAAAACATAACGTGTTCTTTCCTTAACATTTTCCCTCTGGGTTCCACTGAAGTGCCTGCTAAGTGATGGAAGATTCAAATATTCTTCCACAAATGTATAGAAATTCTAACTCAATCTAACTAGAACTGTAGTCATAGCCAAGCAGGATTAAATGATGTTTGTCCCAATGCGTAAAACATAACGCTTCAAGTCTGATTAAAGAATTAAAATAAGGTTCTATTTTACTTGGTAAGAGATTGTGCCACCTTCTTGTACATTGTACTGTATACATGTAGGATGGATATCACCAAAAAATTTCGTAACGCGATAAATCACGATTTTTTCCTCAAAGATCACAATAATATCATGATATTTTTACAAGCAATTTTACAATGATTTTAAATGAATATTCACCATTTTTCCTAAAAATATGCCAGAAAAACATAACTTCACTTTTTCATTTTTTTAATTTGCATATTTTAAAGCTCGTTTGGATGCTAAGATGCCGTTCTTTTACCGTTTTCAACATTTTTTTACACTTCCTGTAATTGTAATTTGAAAGATTAAACAAATAAATGAATAATTTCTTGAATTTATAATTATATGTACCTAGATACCGGTATTTTAGTCTCCATATCACGATACGTATCACGCAATTAAAAATCATGATATACCAGTATACCGATAAAATCGCACATCCTTAGTACTGTAACATGTAGATTAAGACCCAAGCACCTGTGACCTCAATCATTAGTATCTGTTGGAAATATGGTTATATAATATATGCAGACCATTTGATTTTAACCTAAAACCTAGTTACATTTTATAAATTAAAAGTCAACAACATGCATGGTGTATATTAAGTTTGCATGTTGTATATTAAGTTATATGATTTTTATAAATATTTGAGTAAGTCATTTCTTGATATGCATTTTAATATTAACAAGTTTACAATTACAACCAAACATTGCATGCCTCACATATTCTAAGATTTGTGCTTCAGACATCCCATATTACACAAAATCCATTGCATTCAGTTATAATTACAAGATAACAATTAGATCTCATCTTCCTGCATTGAATTGTTAATATGTAGTCATCTTTAATGCTTCTATGTGGAAAATATGACTTTTTTCAACACATTTACTATGCATCAACACTTTTTATCTGTTTTAATTGCATAAAGTGAATTCATTTAATTGAATTTTCTGAATTCTGTTCTGTGTTTGTAAAGGTACTCGTTTCCGACCAATGTCGCTAGAGCTTCCAAAGCCCCTATTTCCTGTTGCTGGGTACCCAATAATTTATCATCACATTGAAGCCTGCAGCAAGGTAAGTAAACTCAGATCAGAAGAACAAAGCTTTTACAACTCCAATAAGGTATTATAAATATTGAACACCAAAATCTCAGACAGAAAAACAATACTTAAACATAATTGTTTTTATTTACAATGAGATAAAGCAATCAAAAAATTCTGTTTGTACAAAGTAAGAGAAAATTGATCCATGATACATGTTTCTATTAAACTAAGCTCTCTCGCCCCTAATTCGCCTTGCCAGCTGGATATCCTTTGGCATGATTGTGACTCTTTTGGCATGAATTGCACACAAGTTGGTGTCCTCAAATAATCCAACCAGGTATGCCTCACTGGCCTCCTGCAGGGCTCCAATAGCAGCACTCTGGAATCTTAGGTCAGTTTTGAAGTCCTGTGCAATTTCACGAACAAGACGCTGGAATGGGAGCTTCCTAATGAGCAGTTCTGTACTTTTCTGATATCTCCTGATTTCACGGAGAGCAACAGTCCCAGGCCTGTATCTGTGGGGTTTCTTAACTCCACCTAGTAAAACATAAATGTATCAATTATATTATTTCTTTACTGTTTAGATCCTCACCATCATGATCATGAGCGGATATCATTGATTTATGTATGCAAATTACATTTGTTTGACAACCAGACTTTATGCACATATACATTGTACCTGCAAGTTCTATGGTGAAAACAAAAATCAGAAATTAGAATTCTGCTCCTTTAGAATTGCAGATTATTAGAATTAACAAATGCTATATTTTCCATGTTTGTTTTTAAAAGTTCAACAATTTAAGACATACATCGAGAGAGGGAGAGAAGACTGAGTTCAATTACCTGTTGATGGGGCATTTTTCCTGGCTGCTTTGGTGGCCAGTTGTTTCCTGGGAGCTTTTCCACCTGTTGATTTTCTGGCAGTCTGCTTTGTTCTGGCCATTTTGCTTGTCTACACTTCAAGTTTTTCTCTTTTATATACCTGGTTGTCAGCTGTTAAGTAAAATGCCTTTAATACAAAAGTAACAAGTGATTAAACTGACGTCTTCAGGGTAAATTAGTTAAGACAGGACTGATTAGGACTCGGGTCATTCAGATATACCTTCCAGGTGTGAACTTTTAACCAGTTGTGACAGTGAGGAATTATTGAGGAGTGAGGAATTATTTATTGGTCTATTTATAACTTCTGAGGCAAAACTGGTTAAATCTGGATCAGTCTGGTTTTCTTCACCATACAGAGTTCAAAATTTCATGATGTAATTACTATATATAGATTCCTGGTTAGCATGAAAATATGAATAAGATTTATTTTTAGGATAACCAGTTCTATCCTGTTCGATCCTTTCCTCCATTTTATGATTGTTAGATGTTTTCTTTGTTTGATTTTTTTCTTATCAATATTGATCAAAGTATGGGGGAGGACATACATTGCTCAACCTAATTTTGTCTAGGGACAGTCTTTAAAGCTATATATGGCGTATCTGAGCTAAAAAATAAAAATACGAGATTGAGTGTAGATAAACATGATACATGTGTATGTTATTTACGTTCAAATTAAAAATTTCACCGATTTTGAACTTGAATAACCTCATGTTTCCTAAGTTAAATTGACTTTCAACAGTGTATGCGGAGTCGGTAACTAAATTGGTTATTGTTTTAAATTTCTAATATCTTTGAAACGTGATTGATTTGAATCGTGTAATTTACGGGAAAGTCCTATCTTTATATAAAGTAACAAAACAAATAGAAAGATCTTTTTAATTTTAGTTAGTCTGCACTTATAAAAAATATGCCATATATGACATTAAACGAAACTTCACATTAATAATGATCACCACGTGAAGTTGTGCAACCAACATTCAAAATGGTCACTGTTGCCATGGAAAATAGAGGAAGGTCAGTTCGGAATGACATGCCATTGCTTGCAAAAAATATTTTTAGCTCACCTGAGCTGAACATTTATGGTGTTAGCTGTTATCCTTATGTTAATCATTTCATTTTTAGGTTCCACATATGAAGGAAGTGATACTGATAGGATTTTATCAGCCTAATGATGCCTTAAACAAATTCATCAGTAGTGTCCAGCAAGAGTTCAAAGTCCAAGTCAGGTAACAGACACAGGTCACAGGAAACCCTGCATTACATGTACAGACTTTTCACTCGTAGTAAAATAAGTAATAACTAAAATTTCAATAATAAATAAGTTAAAGTTTAACTTGTTTTCCTATGAAAAGACAGAATTATATTGGCTATCTTATTTTCATTAACTTCCAGTATGTATATTATTCATTTTAAGACAGAAATTATTCCCAATGTATTGTGATTTGTAGAATTTCAAGTTACACAGAAATGTGATTGAGAAAAGTATAGATGGATTTGATGTAATAAGAAAATTTGGAAATTTTACTTTTCATTATCTTTTACTTTTATTTATTACCTCTGGTAATATAGTTATACATGCATGTATATCAATAAAATTTTCCCTATATTCACATCTTATTGACTTTAAATGAAGGCTGAAAACTTGTATCATATTGATGTTTTTGAAAAAATGGAACTGTATCCATATAGAAATTGCTATGAAATCTTGCAATTTGAGTAATTTTGGAATTGACTTTAGATACCTACAGGAGTACACAGCCTTAGGGACAGCCGGGGGACTGTATCATTTCCGGGACCAGATCCTGGCTGGGAATCCGGACAGCTTCTTTGTGATGAACTCGGATGTTTGTGGGGATTTCCCCCTCAAGGAAATGTTATCATTCACAGTCCAAAAAGGGGGTGGATCCCACTGTACAATACTAGGCACGGAGGTATGATTGAATCAAGTCTCCTTATCAGAATTATATGTACCGGTACTTGCAAACTGTTCACATTAATTTTGTTTTTAAAAAAATGGCTTTCTTAATGTTATTTATTTAATATGGAGAATTATCTTTTCTTTTTAGGCAACAAGACAGCAGTCTTTAAACTATGGTTGCATTGTGGAGAACAAAAATACTCATGAGGTACGGTAGTTTTTGCTAAGGATTGCACCATACTTTGCCTGTCCAATTAAAGCATTGTCTCTACACATATCATGATAAGGATACTTACTCTGTCAAAATTAACATAAATTTTTTTTTTGGTTTTTTACAAAGAAAATCATATCTTTTGTTGAAGTTTAATGTTATTAATGAATTTAATAAATACATTTGCTTGAATTTTGTGCAGATTTAAAGATGGTGTGACAGTGAAGGTATACCTTTTTTGTCATTACTGTTCACTATAGGTTTTACATTACGTGGAGAAGCCCGAGACTTACATTAGTACAGTCATTAATTGTGGGGTCTACTTGTTCTCCCCTGACATTTTCTGTACCCTGGAGAAAATCTTCAAGAAGAATCAAGAGGACAACTACAAGTAAGGGAGACAATCAGTAAATAAAGGGGAGATTATCACTATAGCTTAGATGATTTGTAACATAACAACTTACATGTAACTTAACTAAATGTGTACTTGAATAGAATATTTTAGCATATTTTTCTTAAATCTTTTTAAAAATGATCAAACCATGTATATGGTTAAAGTGGCTTTTAGTGAATGAAAAATATTAAAACAACTGAGTGAAAAATGCATGGATTACATCATAAACTTAATGAATTGTAGTCCCTACCATATAAAATCAACATTTGATATTAAGTAAAGAAGTTTGTAGTGTTTCTTCATAATAAGTGTTATCAGTATCACACATACTTTAGAGGAGACATTTAATTCTCTTTGTTGTAAGGAAGTAAAAAAAAAAAAGGGGAAGAGGGGGGAGGGGATTAATACACAAGGCTTTCTGGTGGACTTGATTTTGTTCAATTTTTTGAATGAGGGTTTAAATAAGTAAAATGTACCACACTTCTTTATTTCTGCTCTCTTTGCACCATATGCATTTATTACTCCTTAGACATGTAGTCTGTAAAATGAATGATACAGAATGAATTATGGTATTTTCAGTTTCCAGACAGGAAATGGGTGTTATTCTGGGTAAATGTGCATGATTTTGTTTTGCTACATTTAATTGTCATGAAGATCGAATGCCAATGTACAGTGACTTAAGTGCTACCTTTGCAGAAATTGCACATTTCTTTTGTTTTTTCTCTAGACTTTATTTATGTACATGAATTAAAACCCCCAGAATGATTTTGCACTAAACTTTATGATTTGAGGTCTCATGAACTGGAGTAAGTATTAGTTTCTGTCTTATTACCCTAATGGACTTGTCTTGTTTTTATTGTTGGGAAAACAGGTTTAAATTAATAATTAAAAAAGGCAATCATTGATATACATGCAACAGCAGTATATTACAATTCCTCTGTTGTTTTAGAAATAAACATGTACATGTATACAAAGGAGAAAATCATCATGATTTATTTTCTTAAAATACATGTTTTGTCAGTGGATGTCCAACATTGTCTACAATTTCTGAGAAAGCATGCAAACATTAAGTGGTGTAGGGAGTAGAAATCCATCTAACTGCATGCAATAAGAATTAAACCATATACAACCCCATTTTGACACCTAAAGATTTCTGTTGTAAATGTTAAATACTAATAAAAAGGAAAGCTATTCTTACAAGCTTTTAAAAATGACTCTATAAACTGATCAAGTTCAAACAAAAATTCTTTTCTTTCTTTTTCTTTTTTTTTTTTTTTGCTTGAATTGGTTTCTTAATAGCAATCTTTGATACACAGTGGTTAAAACAGTTTAAGAATCTTTACTGTGAACCATGTTCTTTTCTCATTACCCATATTTTCTTGGAAAATGTTTGATAATTAATCCTTTACATCTGCCATTTTTCAGCTATGATCCCAGCCTTCAGTTGAATGAGAAAATAAGATTAGAGCAGGACATCTTTGTTCCCATGGCAGGTTCTGGGAAACTATATGTATACCACACGGACAGGTTCTGGAGCCAAATCAAAACCACAGGGTATGTGACTCCAAGAAATCTTAAAATAATAGATATACCCGCTACTCTAATAAAGCTGTATACATCACGAATAGATGTTTCCATGATAAAATTTTTCAATTACTGTGGAATCATCATTGTTCGTGGGGGATCAATGTTTGTGGATTTCGTGGGTCACCCTTACCCAAGAATTTACATCCCTACGAACAATTTTTTTATCAATGTACTGATTAAATAAATCTACCAAATAAACAAGCTGCCCACAAAATTACATCCCCACGAACCAATAAAATTTTGCTTGCCCACGAACATTGACCCCCACGAATTTAAATGATTCCACAGTAACATGCTATACATTTATCATTCTGAATATAGAGGATCTTAATTCAGTGTTTGGTAGTTGGATACGGAACTTATTTTACAAGTGGGGCAGGATTTTTTTTTTTATATAAGTGCAAAGCAGGAGTTTGAATATAAAAAACAAGATGTGTTTGTGAAACACTGATGCCCTGTGTGGCATCTTATGGCGAAGGTTAAAGTTTCTCAAATGCAAGTCAAAATCTAGGCCAAAAGATAAAAAATGTTGGTACCTAAAGAAAGGTCTTGTCCCGAGGAATATACCTGAGAAATTTGAAAGCCCTAGCTGCAACTGTTCAAAAGTTATGGCAAAGGTTAAAGTTTTTTAAAAGTAAGTAAAACATCAAGGTCACGGTCAAAGTTGTTGGTATCCAAAGGAAGGTCTTGTCACAAGGATTACATATGTGAAGTATGAAAGCCCTAGCACCAACCATTCAAAAATTATAGCCAAGGTTAAAGTTTTTCAAAAGTAGATCAAACTCCTATGTCAAGGTCAAAGGGTCAAAGTGGTTGCTATCCAAAGGAAGCTCCTGTCACAAGGATTACATATGTGAAGTATGAAAGCCCTAGCTCCAACCATTCAAAAGTTATGGCCAAAGTTAAAGTTTTTCAAAAGTAGGTCAAACTCCGAGGTCAAGGTCAAAAGGTCAAAGTGGTTGGTATCCAAAAAAAGTCTTGTCACAAGGATTACATATGTGAAGTATGAAATTCCTAGCCCCAACCATTCAAAAGTTATGGCCAAGCTTAAAGTTTTTCAAAAGTAGGTCAAGCTCCTAGGTCAAGGTCAAAGGGTCAAAGAGGTTGATATCCAGAGGAAGGTCTTGTCACAAGGAATACACATGTGAAGCTTGAAACCCATCATAGCTAAACAATTGCAAAATTGAAAATTTTGTAAACATGAATTTTGACAACAATTTGGAGAATCTGTGGTGATTTTCAGTCAGTGTCAGGATGGTTTATTCACTTTTGCTATCTATACAGAGTATCTTCTTCAACATAGTGAAATGAAGGAGAGTTTCATCAGTCATCATGAGTATTATTTTCACTGTAAAAATAAAATATCTGTGAAAATTTCATTGCTGTTCAATAAATAAATTACAGTTATTTCAATAAAAATATCATAAAAGACTATATAAAACTTAATGAGTAAATAACTTGTATTCCGAGAGGTATGCACAGCTATTTCCATGGTAAATACATAGTAATCTAGCTGTTTCTGGTGAGTATGAGTTCAGTTGTCATTTGTTTCTATACTTTCAGAGCTGCCATTTATGCAAACAGACATTACTTAGCTCTATACCAGGACTGGCACAAAGAGAGGTTAGCTAGAAATGGGGAGCTGAAACCCCAGATCATTGGGGACGTATACATCCACCCCACAGCTGATGTTCATCCAACAGCTGTGGTAAGGGTTCAGATTGTAAACATTTTGACACTGTGTTATCATGATGCAGATTATTAGAAAATTTCCATGAAGGTCCAATAATTTCAATTCAAACTTTGTAAAAGTTCCCCATTTATTTGGTTAACTTGGTTGAATCGATGTGATAAAAACTAATGGTAAAAATTTCAAGGAGTTAAAATTACAAACATATAGAGCAGAGTACTTAAAATGCTACAAATTATGACCACAATATAATTGTGAAAATCTAGAAAGTGTTAGAATTATCAGAATAGTTATTAAAGAAGTAAAAATGTAGACAAATGTTTCAGTTTGAGTACATATGCTATACCGGTAGTCAGCAATTTAGACTACAGAATATCATACACATTATAGTTATTCCTGATTTGTTGATATTCTCATTTGTAGCTTGGTCCCAACGTAAGTGTTGGTAAGCACGCTGTGATAGGAGAAGGTGTGAGGGTCAGGGAATCTATCGTTCTTGAGGGCGCTGTTCTACAGGTACACTTTTTAATAAGAAATGCATTATAAAACGATGTTCTAAGTGCAAGTTATTGATACCTGTTAATGTTTTGCGATATGTAATATTGTTGAATGTAATCCTTAAGCTGCCTGCTTGTGTCTGTTGTAGGATAACTGCTGTGTGCTGTACAGTGTAATTGGCTGGAATGTTACCATAGGAAAGTGGACTCGTGTGGAAGGCACACCTAATGACCCCAACCCCAACAAACCTTTTGCCAAGGTTGATGTCAAGGATACATTCAGTCCTGAGGGAAAGCTCAATCCATCTATCACTGTCATTGGTGAGTTTAGCTTGTACACACAGCTCTTCATTATATCTACAATATTAATAGTGGACAATGCAAATCCATCCCAATTATTGATAAGGATATGGTGTTTCAAAGTAAAATAAAAGTAATTCAAAAAAAAATTTAAAAACAGATTTTGTTTTGTTTTATCTGTTAAAATTAAGATATGCAAGTTTATTCTCATCAATAATGCATGTATGTTGGGGCTTATATATCGGAGGATGGTACATGTAATTAGTAAATAAATGTTTTATTTTGTTTACTTTTTAGGGAGTAATGTGCAGGTTCCTTCTGAGGTGATCTTACTGAACGCAATAGTGTTACCAGACAAATCACTCAGTGGAAGCTGCAAGAACCAAATCATCCTCTAGTGTTACCATGGCAATCTCCCAGAATGCACTGCCGAGATCATTCCGTCATGCTACTTTTGTTCCATCATATCTTTCTTTGAAGTTTTTGAACAATTTCATTCTAAATGAATTTGTGTTTTGTACATGTAGATAGTGATTTATTTAAATCTACATGTTTAACTTATCTCATTATATATCCATTTTCCTACATTGCTTTGCTATGAGAATATGTTCATAAATATTTACAAAGTATTTTGGGGACATTTCTTTACAGAGAAGACTGTTTATATACATGGCATATTTTGTATGTTACTCTGTGGTGATTCATTGCATCAGATACTTTTTGAGTGCTTATTTATATTTTATGGATCTAATGTAAGAAGTATCCCATAATCGTATACACTTGAACCATATTTTTTATGAATTCCATGCATTAGTATCATTAAACTTGAGTATGATGAAGGAAAGTATGCTTGTCTTTTTTATTATATACGAATTTTCCAGTTGATTTTACAATTTGTGATGGCAGATCATGAGTCATTTCCCATTGTTCTGAAATCTTATTTTGTTTGTGATATTTTTATGTCGTATGCATATATGAAATCAGAAATCTCAGATTCAGTCACAAGTAGTTTTCCATTATTAATATCAGAGAACAGATTCTTTGGTTTGAAATTCATCTCTGGAGACGTTTTTACAAAGTATCCATCTTTGTGAATTAGTCCCAGCTGGTTACTATCGAGACATGTGATGACGTACTCTCCGACTGATGCAACACCAAAAGGTGTGTCATACATAGGCACCTCCCACTGGAAAGTTCCATTAAAGTCACAGCACACGACCCGACTTCCTTCATTGTCACTCAAATAAACTGAATCCACCTTTGCAGAGGGATCTGAAATGGCAAGAAATTTTCCGAACGGCCGAGTGAACCCTCCGAAATCCTTGTTCTCTGTTAGACCTCGTACATTGTCAATGGTCAGTTTTATCCTTCCTTTCATGTCCATAATTCTTAGAGTAGCATGAGGATCCATAATGTCACACGTCACAAACAGACGTGATCTACCATGGACAAGGCTAAAACATTGGGAATTTTCTGGGAGTGTGAACTTCTTCCTAGAGTTCTTGAATCTGTGATCATCGACATTGACAAAAATGACGCTGTCCTGCTGCGTAAGTGCGATTTCGTTCTCGCTGGTGTAGACCATATCTCGACAATCCGAGGGGACTGCATTGTCCAAGAGGAAATTAAAATTGCGGTCAAACAACTTAATTTTGCTGTTCTTCTCATCAAACATGACGTACTTCCCGTCTCTAAAACTGCATACTTTTTGAATGGAGCATTCATTTTTGTCTTTCTTGCTCCGACAGTTTATTTTATGGGAATATTCCAGATCCAATTCACCCACCTCGCGTCTTCCTCCCCAGCTCCTGGTCACACCACTGGAAGCTGGTGGGTGTCTCTTCTGTGCCATTTGAAAGCCTGTGTCCTTTGCAATCTGTAATGAAGATAGTAAGCTTTAGGTGCACCCGTACTGACTATAACGTTCTCGTTGTATTGAAAATGCCCTGTGTATAATCATTTTGTTCTTTGATAGTCCATAATATTTCAATGTATTGGGTTGCTTTTGACTTAATCGTTAAACACTGTAAACCACTCGCAACCATTTTGTCAGTTTAAATGTATGGACAACTTTTATTTTTCGCGAATGAGAAAATAATAATTAAATTCAATTTACTGATTTTCACGGCAAGAAATAAATGCGAATAGAAGGTGGCGAAACTCTGGGATATATTTCTCGCATTCGATCGAATAAAATTTGGTTTTCACTATCTGTTGGTTGGTGAATGTCATAAAATAATGTTTTCACTACCAAGAGCTATACATGTATATTTATTGTATAGTCATGCAGATCTTGAACAGGTTTAGGAACCGGTCTTAGTTAAGATGGAAAAGAACGCAATAGGGTACGAGGACATTATTCATTAAATTCATTTATTTACAACATTGCACAATGCACTTAATAAATTAATATGATGTTTTATTTTACCTTGTTTTAGCAGTACGAAGAAAAACTTAACAAACGGTGATCAACCTGTTTTCCTTAAAAGAACAAAGTAAATATTTCCTTTCAAAATGGAAGTTTTTATTATAGCAGTATACTGAGACGCTTACTTTTCTGTGCCGCGTTTTACATTCAAGACGAGAATATGGTTGATTGAATTACGATCGACTTTTACATTTACAGTATTGTTTAAATCATTTTTCTTAAACTCATTGAATAAAACTCTTTTGCTAAGCAGAGGCCCTTGTTTAAAGAATACGTGTATAAATAGACTGTTGTAAGGAAACACTGCTGACATATACAATCATTGTTAACAGTTATGAAATTACACACCGCCTTAAATTTACCATGTAACAGCGATAATTTGAGTATAAACACATCCATCGATCGATTTTGTAACTAGAATTTAAGTCTGCTTCATTACATCAATAAAATCATCCCCTTGATTGAAATACTGAATGAATTAGGAATGAGTTCTAGGAGGAAGGGTGTTTACTATAGTATAACAAAGAACAAGAAGAGATGTTAGTAAAAGCTCGTGTTACCTGGAGCAGAGATCGCAAAATATATATTAATTTTCAAAATGGTATTGCTACCTCTATCAATAATAATTAAAAAATTAAGAAAGTGTAATTTACAGAAGCCAGCATCTTGATTGCCTGAAGTAACTTCTGGTTGAACAGCTGCTCCGCACTCGCTGTTTCCCGGATAAAAAAGAAGGCGTTTTTGTGGATTCATCCAAAACATTTTTAATGATGTTTGTAAAACTAAAACGTTTTTGAATAAATCTCTTGGGAATTGTTTTGAATCCTATCAATAAATATGCCTAGCTAGCAGATTAACAGATGAACATGGGAGAAAACATTTGGAAGGAAATCGGAAAAAAAACACAACAAATTACTATGTTTGTATATATGAACAGAGTTTAAGGTAGTCCGATCCTCGGGTTCTGAAAATCAGCTGTTCAGTAATTGAATGTCTCTGTATTCACAACAGTAATGGTATTTACCTATGGTATTTCTTTAAAATTTATCATTAAAGTTAATTATATTATAAAGGGAAAATTAGCAAATCTCAGATATATTTTCAGGAAAGCGAATAAAAGCACCATGCAGCTATGAATTTTCTCATTAAAATTTTATCAGCAAAATTTTTTTAGGATAAAATATTCTAGGATTCCAGGCATTCGGAGAAAAATTAATTACCTTGTTATATAATACATAGTGTAAAAAAGCTTGTTCTATCATTGCAAGACATCACAGATCACTTGTAATTTCATCTCATGCTAAAGGAATTTCTAAGGTTAGATTACAGGAAAGTCGATATCTCTAAAATTGCTTTTATGGGGTAAAAATGTCAACTTTTTACAATGCTGTTTCTAAGACTTCAAAGAGCCTTGAATCATATATTGAGATGCATGAAATGAAAATTGTTGCTCGAAAAGATTTCAATCTGATTAAAATCAGATCTTTTGTTACGCTCCGAAATTCTGATGGTCGCTGTACAAAGATCCCTGTACAGCGACCATCAGAATTTCGGAGCGTAACAAAGATCTGATTTTAATCAGATTGGAAAAGATTTCAATTTCAAACTTCCTTTTGAGACTCTTTAAATTGAATAATGATTTTAAGAGTTATCCTTCCTGGCTGAAGAGCGGATATGCTTAATGAATAAAAGTTTCATATTTTGAGACAAAGTTCATGGAGCAATAATTTTTATATTCCATATATTGTTACAATATGTTTATAATAGCTATTTACCTGTCTTAAATGGATTCCACAAATTTTCTCATAATTTTCTCATTCGCCTAGCGAAAGCCTGTCCACTTCTCTAAAGAGAATAGTATCTACAGGACTCGTTTGTACAGAATCGGTAATGCTTTGGAGCTTGTTATTGGAGTTACACTGTCGATGTTTGGGTAAAAAGTGGAACAGATTGTATCTATGTACTGGGTAGAATGGAGCTAGTGGCTCGAAATATGCAGTGACTCTCTGTTAGTGTCAGGAGACCGCTTCAGCAAGTATCGGTCAGAAGGAGATTTACTAGAGGAAAGGGGGTCCATGGCATGTTGGTTAGACTCCTCCGTTACAGGTAGACACTCGATGGAAGGGCCATGTTGGTATATCTGTGTTGATATTTTGTCATACATCGTATTTTGTCTGACGTATTTCATGCCATTTGTTAGGACATTATTTTACACTATATTTGACTACAAAGTTCTAAGTGTACCAGATCAATGCACAGGACTCACAGCAGGTGTGACCGGTCGACAGGGGATGCTTACTCCTCCTAGGCACCTGATCCCAACTCTAATATTTCCAGAGGTCCCCATTTTTGCCCTGTTCACGATTCGTTTTGTTAAGAGGATCTATGAGATTGATCACTGTTCGTTATCTTCACCTTTTATACATAGGACATCAGATGTCGTGCTCGCTCTGCAAGAATGAAACTAGAGCAAAATGTAAAGTTATATCTTTCATTGTGTCCTCATTGTACATGTAATCCAAATTTATGAAATTGGGCATTTGACAGAAATTCAAACGCCTATTCGACTTTCAAGGCTGTCGACAGTCGACACATTTCTGGAAAGGGGGTGCAGGGAGCAATACACCCCTCCCTTCCCTCCCCGATCTAGAAAACGTTTAATAAAATGCTATCATTTTGTGTGAGTTCTGGTGCACTCTTAGTTATCTTTGTTTCTTGTGTTAAGTAACAAAATCTAGCAGCATTACTTTAAAACAAATGAACATGGGATTAAAAACTACGATATTTTCTTGAGTTTTATTTTAAAAGGGGTTGGGGTGCGATTGCACTCAACGCCCTCCCCCCTTTCCGATGGCCTTGATTTAACAGTGTCAGCAAGGACAATAACCTGTCCCATGCAAAAATTGCAATGTTCATATCGTCGTCGAAAACCACGGCCAAAATGTACGATCCTCTCCCATTCTCCGGACCGTATGTGGCTTGAAAAGGCAACCAAACATTTGCTGCACTACCCGTGGAAGATGAATCATATTTGGCGTAGAGTAGTTAATAATTGATAAAATTACATATGGAATAGACTGAAATTAACTTTATTTACGGGGGAATAACATGAAAGGAAACTAAATTAAGCCCGATTCTGATGTCAGGGTGCTGTGTTCTTTTACTTACAAGTTTCATTGAACATCTGTGTTTTCCTTGATGCACAAATAATGACGTCAGAGTAAATTGCTTTTGTACATTGAATTTGACAGGAAATCTCCTCTTGGCACGATTAAATCAACTGCTCTTTGTCCTCCATATATTGCAATTAAAATAAGTCATTAATATAAATGAAATCAGATAGTGGGTTTTATTGATGTAACCAATTAGTATTCCTCTAAAACTCCTTGAATCGTTATCCATATTATGTCTCAAGG